GAGTCACACGCTCGTAGGCAGGGGTGAACTGGTGAACACCCGAGTCCTGGAGCGCACTACCGGCCACCAAGTTCGTGGAGAACGAGGGGAGGTAGAGACCTGAGAGTGTGCCGGACGGAACCGCTGGACACGGAAGGGTGGTGGAGGAGGTCGCAAGGACCGGACCCCCAGAGGGGTCAGCAAGAGAGACAGCAACCGGCCGAGCTAAAGGCTCAAGGGCAGTGCGGTCACGAAAGAAAGAGCGAGAAGCACCTGAGTCCAGTGTGAAGGTGTGCAGTGCTGCAGTCGACTCAGTACCAGGGGGCACAGACGCACAAGCACCTAGAGCAGCAGCTGCAGTAGTACCTGTGGAAGCAGACACACTAGCACCTAGAGCAGCAGCGGGGCTGGCCTGAATGCCCGGGTCGGGCGGAACACGCAAGTACTGAGCACCCTCTCCACTAATAGACATCGCATACATGGCAGTGAGAATAGCATCAAAGTCAAGTGCCCAAATATCAACACCCTTCCTGAGCAGATCAGCCCAGCGCGGCAGCTCACCCCCACCAGGAAACTGGGTGCGCCACGCATCGTTGAGGCGGGCGAAGCAGCGCTCCGTCTGGTGCGGCCCCCCACACATCTGGCCAGTGCGGTCACCTGTACGAATAACGTACTGGCAGGTGACGCTGCGTCGCGCATACCACTCACGGGCGGCCTGAAGGGTCGGGGAAGGCTGCTGACTCTGACTGCCCCCCGGGCCTCCACGACCACCACCCCCTCCGCCTCCGCCCCGGCCACCTCCACCCCTGCCGCTGCCACGACCACCTCCGCCTCCGCTGCCACCTCCGCCCCTGTCACCACTCCCAACACCGCTGTCACCTCCACCACTGCCGCCACTAGTCTCTCCAGTCGCACCTCCACCGCCACCACCTCCACCCCCGCCTCCTCCGCCACCACCCCCACTCCTGCCACTCCTGCCCCTGCGTCGTCCGCCTGAAGCAGACGCAGCCCCGACCTTCTCAGCACCAAGGAGGTCGACAGCAGCAGCAGAGGCGACAGAGGGGAGGAGGGGGGAAGGGGAGCACCCCTCGAAGAAGGGGCCGCGGGGGTCGCCACGAGAGGTGCCTACAGCGACGATACTAGCCTCGGCTGCAAGCAGTTCCTTCTCGAGGAGGGCTATGGTGAGCTCAGTGGGGGAGCGAGAGAGGAACTGGTCCCTGACAGGGCGCAGAGAGTCAGGGAGGCGGGTGACAACGTGGTAGAGAGTGATCCAGAGCGGGGGGGGGTTGCTAGCGAGAAACTCATCAGGCATGGCAGCGCGAAAGCGAGCCTCACTAGTCTTAAGGTGGGTGATGAGGTCTGCGACAGTGTGAAAGGAGGCTAGGTCGGGGAACAGGTAGGGGAGAGTGAGGCGGCCTAGTGTGGCAGAAGCGGGTGAGGAGTAGCGGGCCACTACAGCTGTGTAGAGGTCCTTAGCAGTCTTGCACTGGCCGAAGTGCTCGCGCTCATCTAGCGGCAGGGAGTTGCGAATAGCAAAGCGAGCGTGCGCGTCACGGGTCTGCCACTGTGAGCGCTCAGCTGGGGGGGCAGTGGCGAGTGGGGCGGTCGCATGGCCGAGAGCGTGGTCGTACAGTGTAATATCTTCCTTGGCAGTGAGCTGTAGGAAAAGGTGCAGGTCATCTAGCCAGGTTTCGAATTTGACCGGACGGCCCTCGGCGTCGAAAGCTAGAACAGGAGGACTAGCCATAGCGACAGTGGCAGTAGTAGAAGCAGTAAAGTCACTGAAAAGGCGTGCGCAGGGTCAGCGGGGCCGGTGGGGCCTACGGACTGTAGTGGCGCACAAGCAGTAGTAGCAGAAAGTGTAGTAGTAGGAATGCAGTGGTGCACAGGCGCAGCAGGCGGCAGCGAGAGCCGGCGGGCGCAGCAGCGGTGATTCGCGGGCGACGGCGGGCGCAGCAGCGGCGGTGCGCGGGCGGCGGCGGGCTCAGCAGCGGTGGTGCGCGGGCGGCAGCGGGCGCAGCAGCGGCGGTGCGCGGGCGGCTGCGGGCTCAGCAGCGGTGGTGCGCGGGCGGCAGCGGGCGCAGCAGCGGCGGTGCGCGGGCGGCTGCGGGCTCAGCAGAGGCGGTGCGCGGGCGGCTGCGGGCTCGGCAGCGGCGGGCCGGGAGCAGTGCGGGCAGCGTGCGGGCCGGCGGCGGTCAGCGCACGAGCCGCGCAGGCTCAGCGCGGGCTGCGCGGGCTGCTCGCGGGCTGCGTAAGCGGGTCGCGGGCGGCTCGCGGGGGTTCGCGGGCAGGTCGCGGGCTGCTCGCGGGCAGTTCGCGGGCTGTGCGCGGGCTGCGCGGGCTGGTCGCGGGCTGCGCAGGCGGTTCGCGGGCTGCGCGTGGGCGGTTCGCGGGCTGTGAGCGCGGCGCGCTGTGCGGTTCGCGGGCGGCGTGACGGGGCCGATCGGGGCGCTAAGGGGCGACGCGACGGGGGCCGTGAGAGGCCGCTAAAAAAAATTCGAAGGGGCCGCAGGGCCGCTAGATCGTGCTAGATCGACGGGGCCATCGGGGCCGAAAAGAAGCGAAGGTAAGCAGGTAGGTAAGTCGGTGGGCCCTAAGAACAGTCCTAGCGAAGGACCTGCTCTGAAACCATGTCAGAAATAACTGAACAGGAATGAATGAACTAGAACAGAGTTTGGTACAAGTAGGAAACCCTAACTTTGTGTACCCCCTAAGGTGTAACCCACTACAGCCTAGACAATATAAACATGCAATGTTTGACAGTGGTACCCATCCGGCTACCGCCGCTTAGCCGCAAACGTTTAGGCATCAGCTTGAGCGTTTCCCCGTGGGTCGTAATTCTCGCCTCCTGAAGCTCGAAGCCCGTTTCTCTCGCTAAACACAAACTCGACGCAACTCCGTGTATTGTACCCGGTAGAACCCCCGAAGATCGCGGGTCTAAACACTGCGCCGAAACGTTGTCCCGCTGGTGTACTGCCCTGTCTGCGACGCAAGTACCCTTGATCAGGGGGTGCTGTGCCGCCTGAAGTACAGTGTCGGCTGCTGCTTGTTGCTCCGAAAATTTCGCCGATTGTTGTGCAGGCGCAGCAGTGACCCTAGCGATAGACAGTCTAGTCGTAGGCGGTTTTCTCCGATCTTTTCGGTGGCTTAAAGAACAACTTCCGTCCCACACTGTGCCGCTCCTGCCGAAAACGCCAACGACGCACCCTCCTGCAGCCACACCGGCCACACCCGGGCGGGACGATGGTAGACCCCCGCTTTCGGGCAGTCGTCACGCCGTCTCTCCTCGCCGTTGCATTTTCCGACGCAAATCACCATGCGCCTGGCCTGCCCGGCCAGCTGTCGTTTCTGCCGTGAAGCCACCCGAAATCTTCGCGCACAGTGACGACGATCACCACGTGCCGAAGACTCCGAATTTCTCGTGCGCAACGTGACGAAATCGTCCGCAGCACGTGCCGCACGCCTTCATTCCGAAATTGTCGCGCGCAGTTGTCGGCCACGTGCCGACGCCGCTCGCACGCCGATTGTCTCCGTCGATCTCGGACGTGAAGTGACGACAGTCCCTTCGACGTCAGCTGCCACACCACGTTAACTCCGAAAATGACGAAAACGCCATGCAAGTGACTTACGCATTAAATGCGACGACAGCAAAAGCTGTCCGCCACCCGGGGGGAGGGAGGCCACGGTCAATCCCGACCGTCGAGGGCAAGGATCCGTCGGTGCCGCAGGAGCGCCAGAGAAATTCATGGCCGCTAGGAGAAACTACCCGTTCTCCTGGCCGGCTACTGCGCTACTCCTGTCACCACGGCATCCTTCCCTGTCCCCCCCCCCGAGGGGTAATACACTCTAAAAAACGGGGAACCTAGGAACTTAGGCTCTGATACCAAGTGTTATGAGTTGTACTAAGAAGAGTGCGCGGAAGACTTTATAAAAAGGATGAGAATTACAGAATGTCGATAATGATAATGAAGCGAGCATTTATAGGGTCGAAACCGTGCTAGGCGAGGACCTCGATGTGCGTGGCTCGGGAATGTCGCAATTGGTGCGGGGCGACTCGGGGCTGGTTCGGTGCGAAAGTGTAGGCCGAGCCACACTGACGCGAACTGCTCGGGGCTGTCCTCGCTAAGGACAGTTCTACAGTAATGAATTGCACATTCATTACACTCTCCCGCAAGCCATTTCCGTTACCACGTCAGCTTAGCTGTGACAATAATTGTGCTCCCCGTGGTCTGCGCATGAACCTACGTTGACAGAACCAAACCAGATCCATGTGCCTGACTTCTGAGCTATGTTTTTTTTTGCGACAAGCCCGAGAGGCTGTCGACTCGACAAGCTGTGCCATCTTCATTCACGGGCAGAAGAAGCATTTCCTGTTCCCCCTCCTGAATGCACAGAGGTGATTTACATGACAGCCCCAGCCAGGTTTGCCGAAGCAGTAACGGGCACGTGAATATTGCTGAGTTTCCTCCAAGCTTGCAAACCAACGTTGTTACAGCTGTCGCTCGTGGGTGACGAGGAAGCAAGCAAGCCCATCCGAGTCAGCCAAACAGCTGAGCCTGTCGTCAACGCTTGAAACTTCGCTGAATTTCTTAGCCAGGTTTGCCATCCTTCCAGGCAAGCAGGAAAGCTGTTTTGACGAGCATTATTCGTCAGCCAATCACGATCGCCTCAAGAAGATGATTCCGCGAGTCGCACGCACATGGGGCGTCCGCTGGGCGTCCTCTCCCCCCAGCTTCACCCCCATTCAACAGAATTATTGCTGTGTCTGAAACTGAGGATGCCACTGCCCGTTTTTGTTGGAGAAAGCGGAACGTAATAAACACGCACGACGCACTTCTATTCGTCAATCCGCGCCGTGGTGAACATTCAAAAGTTTCCCTGGTCATAATTTCTTCCCGCGTGCCAGTTTCAGCCAACCACCGACCGACGTTGCCTCGCCCATACACCTCTCTTTTCCGCGTCCTGCTTTTTCTTCCGCGCCCCGCTCACAAATCTGCGCCCCGCTTGATCTCCGCGGCGCAATGCTCTTGGTTACAAAATCGCTCAAGAATCAGACGAATTCTTCCCAGCTGCCATTCCTTTCTGCCCCCCGTCATTTCCTCACTGTCCCACAAGCCCATCAAGATCGCGAATCACAACTGTGGGGCTCCAATAAGGGCGAAGTCAGGTTATACATTTCTCATGGGTTTACAGTTGTTGAATCGTGGTTCAGGACGGTCTAACACGGTGTATAGCGGTTCTTGACAATTACCGATCTGCACCGTGTTGAAACGAAGTTACCGTAATCGGCGTATAAAAAGCTGTACAACCTGACGTCGCCCTAATACACCCGCACTCCGCACGCTCAAGCTCTAGGTTGCCGCTCTCAATAACAATCTCTCACGAGCCCCGATCGTCTATATCTCCCCCTCGTTTTCATTCTGAGACCATTCCGAACTTCGTTTCAGCCAACTCTCAGAGGCTCAAAGCATCGTCACGTCATTCAGACCGAGAGACGTCGCGAAGCGGACACACTACACTCAGCCGAAAAGACATCATGGCTCCCCGATCACCGCTTAGCATGCGCGCTCTCCTCGGTCTCCTCTCCATCACCGTCGCGATTCTCGCCGCGCTCGTTCCGACTGTCCTGTCCCGCGGGTTGGCATCTCCGGTCTACGACAGCGCGTCACGCGGCGGGATTCCCACCCACATTCACCTTTCGAGATTGAGAAGAGGCCTGTCGCCCGACGTGCCACGCGTGCCCCTCCACGTCGTTTTCCACGGCACGTGGGGCGCTGCTGACGTGGCCCTCGTGGAAGATTTCGTCAGGGATTTGCCAGCGCAAGGTTACGAATCGCTGGCTCAGCTGGGATCCGTGGCCGTTGATAACAATTACTACGGCGTCAACTCAGCTGAAGGTAACAATTTTAACCCTTTTATTGCACCAGTGTCGCAGACTTCCGATTTCTCATACCTTGAGACTAACCCTGTGTCTATCGTCCTGCCTTTCGCTCTGTTCGCCCGACGTTTGAATTGCAGCCGTTCAGCACCAAATTGACATCGGCGCGCTTCCATTCAACCGCGCCGCGCTCTACCTGCTGGTTACCAGCGGCGACATCGCAGTAACCATCGGCGGCGAAACCTTCTGCGAAGACTACTGCAGCAAGCAGACGACTCTCAACCTGCGCGGACCCGATGGGTCCGTCGCGGAAACCAAGTTCATCCACGCGGGTGACGTGTTCGCGCGCTGCCCCGATCGCTGCACCTTCCGCGCCGCTCACTCAGAGTAAGCTCTCCGCGAAGACCTCTCTTCTTGAGATTTTCACCAGCCGCATCCCCTCCCACCCCCAATTCCCTGCCCTCCCACCCTGCTCTCCTGCCGTAGCCATCCCCAGTTTTGAATTTTTTTTTTTTTGTCAATCCGCCTTACTGACTGTATCCTTTTTTCTCTTCGCTCCCCCGTTTCTGTCACTCCTGCAGTGAGCCCAACCCACTCCGCCACCTCCTTCGCCACCTAGGCTCGGCAATTACCGAGTCTGTTCCCGGACCTGATGCCGGGCCCATCATTGCATCCGAGTTCCCCGACCGTGAGCCCCTGTCTCCAGCCACGGTTGCCGAGCCATCTGCTTCTGGTTCGGCACCGGAGCAAGAGGAGGGGAACGCCACCGCTACAACCGCCAAGATGTGTGCCGCCTACCCATCAGAGACCTTCATCCATGCCATTACCTACGGAAGCAACTCCTCAGGTGTTTCTTCAGGTGGCCTTGCAGGCGACATCCACACATGCGCAGCTGCTTCTGTGGGGCCTAAGGTTGTTCCTCCAACTGTTGCTGGCCGGGCCAAGTAAGGGTGAGGGCACAGGACCACTCTGTAACGTTGTGACAAGAGTTACACGTACACCACGACTCCGCTCTGTAAATACTTGCGGAGGCAGTAGATGGGTTGATTCTGGAGAGCAGCATTGCGGAAGACAGAAAAGAGAGGAAGCTTTTAGCCTCCGTACTGATGTTGAGTTGTTTAGGTCTTAGCTTTAGCTCATGGCTTCTTGTTTTGCTCCTTCAACAAGAAAGGAGGTGTTTGCCCAAATAAGCGAGATGTCAATGCAATCAGCGTCCAGATTCCTTTTCCAAAATGAAAGTAGTGACTCTAATGCTCACAACGCAGCCTCTAGTTGGAGTAAAATGAGTACTCTGAAACCATCAAAGGACAAAATCCAGCCACGTGACACTCAAATGCCCGAATTCACTCATACCGTATGTGTGTGTGTTCAAGCAGGTGCGCTGAGTAATGCACTGGGAAGCCCCTTGCAGAAAAGAACAGCCACAGAAATCAGTTCTATGCTGCTCAGTGCACATGTGCATGTCCCTGCCTTTAAAAGCTTGCACAGTGCGAACATTTCATTCTGTTCCCAGCCATCCTCCTCTCTCCACCCACCTTTCCTCGCCCTTCTCAAACCCAACCTTGCTCACCCTCCAACCCCACTAGGCTCCTATAATCAAGCCTTTTCCCAGCACAGTGGTTACACCACGGAGCGTGGTGGGAAGTCATGGTAAGTAGCATAGCAAGGCCCCAACGAAAGGGCTCAATGCTACAGTACCCTTGAGTTGAGACATCTTACAGGCAACCACTAGGCTCCTCCAATCAAGGCTTTCCCCAGCACAGAGGTTACACTGCTGAGCATGGTGGGAAGCAATGGTAAGTAGCAAGGTGACTTTTGAGTCGATCAAAAGTCTCCCCAGCACAGAGGTTACACCACTGAGCGTGGTGGGAGGCCATGGTAAGTAGTCCTAGCAAGGCCCCTCTTAGGGGCCTCGTTATAAGGTGTCTGTCTTGTGGTATTCGCCACACGAGCTTCGTTATAAGATGTGTGGCGCTTCCGGTTACCGTATGTGAAAACAGCAGGCAGGCCCCAAGGGCCTCGTTGTAAGGTGTCTGATGCTTGAAGTGAAACAGTGGTGCTGCTACTGGTACTGATACTGCTGCGGCGGCTGCTGCTCCTGCTCCTGAGACTGGAGCTGTTGCTGTAGTTGCTGTTGACGCTTCTGTTGCTGGTGGTGTTACTCAGCTGCCGCTCCTGTTACTGATGTGACCACTACTGTAGCTACAGCGGCAGATGCATTGTTGCTACTGGTACTGATACTGCTGCGGCGGCTGCTGCTGCTCCTGTGCCTGAAACTGCTGCTGTGCATGCTGCTGCTGCTGCTGCTGTTGCTGTTGCTGCTGCTGCTGCTGCTGATCCTGCCACTGCTGTCCCCCCTGAGTTACACCCATATACTCCTGTTGCCCATACTCCCCACCCTGCACCGCCCCTTGCCCAACCTTCTCCTCCTGCCCCTGCTGCTGCTGCTGCTGCTGCTGCCACCATGAGCCTTCGGCCTCGCCTGCAGACCCCACTCCACTGTTCCCCACCCCCATCCCCACCCCCATCGTTGCACTCTCAACTCCCATTGCTGTTGCTCCTGATGGGATCGGCGCCTGTCCCTCCCCGGAGGCCCCTGCACTGCCCACTGCATACCCTGCTGCCTGCTCACCTGCTGCAGCAGCAGCACCTGAAAATTCTCCTGGAAAAACACCTGCAGCAGCAGCAGCAGGAGTCTCAACAGGAGCACCAGCAGCAGGAGGAGGCATCCCAGTATCGACATTCGGGCTGTCTCCAGAATCATTATTAACACCAGCATCCACAGCAGCAGCAGGAGGAGAGGAACTGGCGTCTGTACCATTCACAGCAGCAGCAACAGGGGCAGGAGCAGCAGCAGGAGCAGTTGCTGCAGCAGCAGTAGCAGCTGCTGGAGCAGCAGGAACAGCAGCAGCTGTTGCAGCCACGATGCCAGCAATAGGTGTGGGCGGCGGGGGAGTGATGCTGGAGGCTCGAGAGGCGTCCACATCCATTGCATCTGAGAAGTCCAGACGACGCAGGTACCTGGAGGGTTGACATAGGGGAAGATAAGAAGGAGAGGGGGGAACGTTGACTAGAGCTGACTAGCGTTGACTAGGGTGATGCTGGAGGCTCGAGAGGCATCCATTTCCATTGCATCTGAGAAGTCAAGGCGACGCAGGTACCTGGAGGGTTAGAGATAAGAACGTGGGGGAGAGGAGAATAGAGTTGACTTAAGTTGATTAGCGTTGACTGGAGTGATGCTGGAGGCTCGAGAGGCATCCACATTCAAGAGAAATAACAGCACCTGGAGAGCTTTTCCAAGGGAAGGGAGCATACAGAGCAGGAGAGGGGAGGATCAAGCGGACTGGGGTCGAACAGTTAGCTGCAACACCACCCACCCCACCCCACCCCACCCCACCCTTCCCTACCCTTCCCTACCACACCATCCCCTGCCCTCTTTTCTCACCTGGTGCTGCTGATGCACTGGTTGATGGCAGTAAAGATGCCTGGGGGGCTTGCTGCAATACCACCCACCCTACCCCACCCAACCCCACACCACCCCTCCCAACCATTCCCTACTCCATCAGTTCCCTGCCCTCTTTTCTCACTTGGTGCTGTTGATGCGCTGGTTGATTGCAGCCATTTGCCTTGAGGGGCTAGCTGCAATACCACCCACCCCACCCCACCCCACCCTACCCTTCCCTACCCCACCCCACCCCACCCTTCCCTACCCCACCCTACCCCATCCCCCTCCCCTCTCACTTGGTGCTGTTGATGCGGTGGTTGATGGCAGACATTTGCCTGGAGGGGCTCGCTGCAATTCCACCCCACTTCACCCCACCGCATCCCACACCACTCCACCCCCTCGTTCTCACTTGGTGCTGTTGATGCGATGGTTGATGGCAGCCATTTGCCTGGAGGGGCTCGCAAAGGGGTCAGCGGAGAGGCCCCCTCCCAGGAGCTGCGTGGATAGCTGCGCTGACAGCTGGCGGTGCGGGGAAGCCAACAGAGCTTCCATCTGGTGAATGGGGAAGGGGGAAGGGCAGAGAAGGGCGGAGAGAAGGGTGGAACAGCAAGGCAAAGGGGTCAGCGGAGAGGCCCCCCCACAGCAGCTGCGTGGATAACTGTGCTGAGAGTTGGCGGGGAGGGGAAGCTAAAAGAGCTTCCATCTGGTGGGCAAAAAGCAGGGAGAAAAAGGAAGGAGAAGGGGGACACAGGGGTCAGCGGAGAGGCCCCCTCCCAGCAGCTGCGTACATGCTCCCACGAGGCTTCCAAAGCGGTGTCAGATGCGCTCTATGTGTGTGCTTACTTACCCTAGAGGTGGGCACTGGGGACACGTAGACGTTGTGCCGAGAAGACACCGTTTTGATTGCGAAAAAATTGCTTTAGCTATAAAAAAACTAGCAAACTCAAAAACTTTTTTTACTGCTGGAAAACAAGAAGTACGGAGTTGGTTAGTTCCACAAGATTATAATGCACAAGAATGTGCAGGAGTTATACATTCACAAATTAAAGAAAAAATTATTTTAGCTGAAATTTATAATTTTTCTTTTTTAAAAGAAAATTCTAATAATTTCAATAACACGCATCTTGGCACTATGAGAAGAATAGTTGCTTTTTATTTCCTCTGGCGAAGGAGTTAAAGGTTTATTAGTAATTATTTTGAATTTTTGTTCATCTGATTTACTACAATAAAACTCAAAAGTTTTTTTTACTATTCTGTCTTCTAAAGAATGATAAGAAATTACTATTACTTTTCCTTTTTTAGCTAATTTATCTAAAGATTCATGAAGAGCTTTTTCTAAATTATACAGTTCATTATTAACAGCAATTCTAAGAGCTTGAAAAATTTTTCGGGCAGGGTGAGCAGAAAATTTGTTAATTTTTTTTCTATTACCAATTGCATCTAGCAATTTTACCAATTGCACTGCTGGTGCTGGTGTGGTGTGGTTGCTTACCCTAGAGGTGGGCAGTGGTGACACGTATACGTTGTGCCGAGAGGACACCCGGCCGGGGGAAGCACCCGGCACGGAGGAAGGCGACTGCTGGTGGTGCTTGAAGTGCCTTCCCTCACCAACAGACCTTTGTGTGGGCTTACCCTTGAGGTGGGCAGTGGCGAGACGTAGACGTTATGCCGAGAAGACACTCGGCGGGGAGAGGCGCCTGGTACAGATGAAGGCGACTGCTGATGCTGCTGAAAGTGAGCGAGAGCAGGGGAGGAGTGCACCAGGGGACTCCTGAACATGCTCCCCACGTGCCCCCCGCCCCTCTCCCCCGCTCCCCCTGCTCCTCCCCCTGCCCCCCCCGCTGTGGAGGCGCCGTGACCGAGGTGCAGCAGGAAGGACTTGGTAGCTGGTACGAATATTTCATTGTAGAATCGAATAATATCGCCGTGCTGGGGGATGGGCTGGTGGGCAGGAGGGAGTGGGGAGTGGGTAGGCACATAGAAGGGGGTAGAGGGAGTGACCGAGGTGCAGCAAGAAGGACTTGGTAGCTGGTACGAAGATCTCAATTATAGAAACGGATTATGTCTCCATGCTGGGGGATGGGCTGTTGTGGAGCGGGGAGCGGATGTGTGTGGGCGCAGAAGAGAGTACAGGGAGACAGGGAGAGGGGCACAATGAGTCTGCTGTGGAGGCGCCGTGACCGAGGTGCAGCAGGAAGGACTTGGTAGCTGGGACGAAGATCTCGTTGTAGAAACGAATGATGTCCCCGTGCTGGGGGATGGGCTGGTGTGGAATTGACGGGGGTAGGGAGTGGGTAGGCACATAGAAGGGGGTAGAGGGAGTGACCGAGGTGCAGCAGAGGAGAGGCGGCGCCGTGACTGAGGTGCAGCTGGAAGGACTTGGTAGCTGGTACGAAGATTTCATTGTAGAAAAGAATGATGTCTCCGTGCTGGGGGATGGGCTGGTGGTTTGGGAAGGGCGGGGAGGGCGGGGGCGAAGTAGAGAGAGAGGAGAGGGAGTGCAGGGAAGAGGGGCACAATGAGTCTGCTGCGGAAGCAGCCGTGACCGAGGTGCAGCAGGAAGGACTTGGTCGCCGGGACAAAGATCTCGTTGTAGAGCCGAATGATGTCCCCATGCTGGGGGATGGGCTGGTGGAGCGGGGAGTGGGAGTGGCGAGTGCACACAGAAGCGGGTTGAGGGTTTCGGGTTCAGTGCTCGCTAGAGGGGTGCAGCAGGAAGGACTTGGTGGCCGGAACGAAGATTTCGTTGTAGAGTCGAATGATGTCCCCGTGCTGGGGGATGGGCTGGTGGGGCGTGGGGAGCGGATGTGTGTGGGCGCACAAGAGGGTGCAGGGAGTGGAGGGGGTGGTCGGGACGAATATCTCGTTGGAGAACAGAATGATGTCCCCGTGCTGGGGGATGGGCTGGTGAGGGAGAAGGGGGGAGAGAGAGGGAGGGAAAGAGGAGAGGGTGGGAGGTAGCAGGGGAAGGGCACATGATGAGTCTGCTGCAGAGCAGAGGAAGCGCTGCGAGTGAGGTGCAACAGGAAGGACTTGGTTAGACTTGGTCACAAGGTCCTTCTGTGACTTGTCCCGTTTCTCGTTGTAGAATCGAATGATGTCTCCATGCTGGGGGATGGGCTGGTGTGGGTATGGTTGAGGGGCCATGGGACACATGGGCAGCATGGGAGGCATGGAGGGCATGGGGTATGGGGCACAGGGGGGCATAGGGGGGCATAGGGAGTATGGGGAGCATGGGAGACATGGGAGCATGGGAAATGAATGATGTCCCATGGGTGCCAGTGCACCCATCCCACCCACCCTTCCCCCCTCAATACCCCCCTGCACCGCTCTGCACCCATCCACGCACCTCCTTGGAAGGAGAGTCAGCAGGGAGTGGCTTGGCGTCGATGAACACATTTCTGAAGACCGAGGGTTTGCAGTGCGGTAGCTTGCGGTACTGCGCGATGATGTCCTTGAACGTGACTGCCACTTGTGACACCTGTATGAAAGGAGGCAGGACGGAATGGGTGGGGGGAGGAGAACCGGGGTTAGGGAAGGGGGGGTTTGAAGGAGAGCATAAAAAAGGTAGTGCTTTGCAGTGCGGTAACTAGTGGTTCTGTGTGCCTGGCAAAGAGAGACAGAGGTGCCCCCTCCACCCCTCGCCCACACAGGACGCCGTAAACAGAGGAGAGAATGATTTGGTCGAAGTGGCAGCAGAAGAGCAGCAGAAGAGCAGCAGAAGGGGAAAGAGGCAAAGAGAAAGGCACCCTTCCTTTCACAGACCCACCTTGCAGACGCCATAGACGGAGGAAAGTATAATCTGGTCGAGGTGGCGGCAGAACAGCAGCTGCACCTCGCCCGTTATTTTTGAGAATTCTCAAAAATAACACGGCATGCCACAAGCACTGTTCTCTCACTCGAATGGTCCTCCATTAAATAAGCAAGATAGTACAGCACTGTTCTCTCACTCACTCCATTAATCCATATCCCCCTCCCGTCCCCCCAACGCCACCTACCTTGCAGACACCATAAACAGAGGACAGAATAATCTGATCTAGGTGGCGGCAGAAGAGCAGCTGCACCTCGCCCTCCACTGCATGCTCCACCACGCGAAACACCATCTCCGACACCGCTGCTGTCAGCCTGAGCCTCTCACACAGGCTGCGCACCCTCACCACCGCTAGCTTGAGGACCTGGTGTTGCGGGGATGCAGGCAAAGGGATGAAAGGGATGAGCAGAAGGGATGAAGACAGCTGCACCACTCGAAACACCATCTCCGCACAACCGCTAGCTTGAGGACCAGGGACGGGAAAACAGGGGAGACGGGGTCAAAAGGCAAGGGGCACGTACCTTTTAGCACAGCTGGTTAAGAGCATCACGTATCGACTCTTTTTAGGCGCCTCAAAAGACGTACCTTTTAGCACAACTGGTTAACAGCATCACGTATCGACTCTTCGCTCCCAACTTGGAAATCAAGTCACTGTTTACCTCAAACATGAGAAACAGTGGGTGGGTCCCACTCACCTTTTGGCAGAACTGGTTGAAAAGCATCTCCGATCGGCTCTCCCCTGGCTGTGCTGCTGCTGCTGATGAGCCTACTCCGAATAGAAGTCATGGATTCTTTCTAAATAGCTCACCAGTGGTGGGTGGGTCCCACTCACCTTTTGGCAGAACTGGTTAAAGAGCATCTCCGACCGGCTCTCCCCTGGGGGCGCTGCTGCTGCTGACGCCCTCTGAAAGGGACTGTGGGTGGCCGGATACAGGGGTGGGGGGAGAGGGGGGAGCGACGCAAGAATGATTGGTCATGATGACTACCCATGACAAAATCAGCCTGCTTCATTTACTACACCTGTGCAGGTTTTTCCGCGTTTCAGGGCTACAAACGCCTCTTTAGAGGACTGGCGCCTATTAGAGGAGAGAGGCGCCTATTAGAGGAGTGGCGCCTATTAGAGGAGTGGCGCCTATTAGAGGAGTGGCGCCTATTAGAGGAGTGGCGCCTATTAGAGGAGTGGCGCCTATTAGAGGAGTGGCGCCTATTAGAGGAGTGGCGCCTATTAGAGGAGTGGCGCCTATTAGAGGAGTGGCGCCTATTAGAGGAGTGGCGCCTATTAGAGGAGTGGCGCCTATTAGAGGAGTGGCGCCTATTAGAGGAGTGGCGCCTATTAGAGGAGTGGCGCCTATTAGAGGAGTGGCGCCTATTAGAGGAGTGGCGCCTATTAGAGGAGTGGCGCCTATTAGAGGAGTGGCGCCTATTAGAGGAGTGGCGCCTATTAGAGGAGTGGCGCCTATTAGAGGAGTGGCGCCTATTAGAGGAGTGGCGCCTATTAGAGGAGTGGCGCCTATTAGAGGAGTGGCGCCTATTAGAGGAGTGGCGCCTATTAGAGGAGTGGCGCCTATTAGAGGAGTGGCGCCTATTAGAGGAGAGAGGCGCCTATTAGAGGAGTGGCGCCTATTAGAGGAGTGGCGCCTATTAGAGGAGTGGCGCCTATTAGAGGAGTGGCGCCTATTAGAGGAGTGGCGCCTATTAGAGGAGTGGCGCCTATTAGAGGAGTGGCGCCTATTAGAGGAGTGGCGCCTATTAGAGGAGTGGCGCCTATTAGAGGAGTGGCGCCTATTAGAGGAGTGGCGCCTATTAGAGGAGTGGCGCCTATTAGAGGAGTGGCGCCTATTAGAGGAGTGGCGCCTATTAGAGGAGTGGCGCCTATTAGAGGAGTGGCGCCTATTAGAGGAGTGGCGCCTATTAGAGGAGTGGCGCCTATTAGAGGAGAGAGGCGCATATTAGAGGAGTGGCGCCTATTATAGGAGTGGCGCCTAATAGAGGAGTGGCGCCTATTAGAGGAGTGGCGCCTATTAGAGGAGTGGCGCCTATTAGAGGAGTGGCGCCTATTAGAGGAGTGGCGCCTATTAGAGGAGTGGCGCCTATTAGAGGAGTGGCGCCTATTAGAGGAGTGGCGCCTATTAGAGGAGTGGCGCCTATTAGAGGAGTGGCGCCTATTAGAGGAGTGGCGCCTATTAGAGGAGTGGCGCCTATTAGAGGAGTGGCGCCTATTAGAGGAGTGGCGCCTATTAGAGGAGTGGCGCCTATTAGAGGAGTGGCGCCTATTAGAGGAGTGGCGCCTATTAGAGGAGTGGCGCCTATTAGAGGAGTGGCGCCTATTAGAGGAGTGGCGCCTATTAGAGGAGTGGCGCCTATTAGAGGAGTGGCGCCTATTAGAGGAGTGGCGCCTATAAGAGAAGTGGCGCCTATAAGAGGAGTGGCGCCTATTAGAGGAGTGGCGCCTATTAGAGGAGTGGCGCCTATTAGAGGAGAGAGGCGCCTATTAGAGGAGTGGCGCCTATTAGAGGAGTGGCGCCTATTAGAGGAGTGGCGCCTATTAGAGGAGTGGCGCCTATTAGAGGAGTGGCGCCTATTAGAGGAGTGGCGCCTATTAGAGGAGTGGCGCCTATTAGAGGAGTGGCGCCTATTAGAGGAGTGGCGCCTATTAGAGGAGTGGCGCCTATTAGAGGAGTGGCGCCTATTAGAGGAGTGGCGCCTATTAGAGGAGAGAGGCGCCTATTAGAGGAGTGGCGCCTATTAGAGGAGTGGCGCCTATTAGAGGAGTGGCGCCTATTAGAGGAGTGGCGCCTATTAGAGGAGTGGCGCCTATTAGAGGAGTGGCGCCTATTAGAGGAGTGGCGCCTATTAGAGGCGCCTATTAGAGGAGTGGCGCCTATTGAAGGAGTGGCGCCTATTAGAGGAGTGGCGCCTATTAGAGGAGTGGCGCCTATTAGAGGAGTGGCGCCTATTAGAGGAGTGGCGCCTATTAGAGGAGAGGCCTCTGTTAGAGGAGAGTGATACACAGATGCCCCTGCTGCACTGCCACTAGCCAGGTGCGTGACACACAGCATGACATCTCACTCACGTGGTGAAGGAGGAGTGCAGGTGCGCAAACTCCCTTCTGTTCTGTGGCTTCATGGTGGGGAGCTGGGCTGCACATGCCTGCTGTACTGCCACTAGCTAGGTGCGTGGTACACAGCATGGCATCTCACTCACGTGATGAAGGAGGAGTGCGTGTGCACCTGCTGTCCTCCCTTCGTATGCTACATGTGCGTAGCAACAAAGCAGGTGGCACACGGCATGACGTCTCACTCACGCGAACTCCCGCTTGTTCTGCGGCTTCCAGGGGGAAGCTGGGCTGCACGTGCCCCTGCTGCACTGCCCCTGCTGCACTGCCCCTGCTGCACTGCCACTAGCTAGGTGCGTGACACACAGTGTGACATATCACAGAACCAGCACCACAGCACCAGCACAACTCACGTGGTGAAGGAGGAGTGAAGGTGCGCAAACTCCCGCTTGTTCTGTGGCTTCATGGGGGAAAACGCGGGGAAGGACGCCTGGGCTGGCGGGGAGGCTGCTGGGAGGGACGAGAGGGGTGGGATGGAGGAGTGGGATAGCATGGTGTGGGATGGAGTGGCAGGAATAGCATGAATGTGAACGACGAAAACGGAGGAGAAGACACGCTCTTTTTTAATTCATGGGCGAGAATTCGGGGAAGGAGGCATGGGCTGATGGGGAGGCTGCTGGGACGCATGAGCGGGGTGCAATGGTGGGGTAAGCACAAACCACTCACCTTCATCATTTTCCTTCTCCGGAGTGCCATCCCCCTTCTCCCCATCCCCGCCACTCCCCTTCCCTCCCGCTCCTCTCCCCACCAGCTTTCCCACCAACCCCTCCTCCCCTTCCGGCAGCAGCTGCAGCCTCTTCACTTCCGCCAGCAAATGCCGTCTCGCAGCAACCACAGTCACATACAGGCTCGACCCCTTCTCCCAGGCCAAACTCTCCAGAATCCGCTCATCACACGCGTTCAGATGCCGCTTCAGCTCCCCAGGTAGCCCCTCCTCATACCGCACAAAACCCTCCATAACCTTATCCATATCAAACGCCGACACCCCCGCCGGGGCGAGCACAGCAGGGAAGGTGTGAGCGGTCGCCTTGTGACTCGCTAGCACTAGCTCGGCCGAGCAGGCGAGGAGCGCGCGGTGAAACCGGTCGTTATCGAGGAGTGGAGTGAGGTTCTGTGAGTTGATGCGGAGGGATTCAGACGTACACATGCGGAGGAGCACCCGGTAGTAGAGCTTTACTGTCTCCTGCCTCCTCTGCTCCGCCCATAGCGCAGCCTCTGCTGGCTCATTCCCCCCTGCTTCTCCCCCTCCCGCTCCCCCCCCTGCTGCGGATTCCCCTTCAGCCTGCTTCCCTGTATCACCTGCTCCCGCTCCGGCTCCGTTTTTCTCTCCTCCTGCCTCTCCCGCCGCTCCCTTCCCTCCCCCTCCCCCCGCCCCTGCAGCAGCAGCAGCAGCAGCAGCAGCTCGTTTCTTCTGAGACACAGCAGCAAAGATCTCATGCGAAACCAGGGTCGTTCTGGTTACCACCGCGCCCGTTACATCCTTGTCGCACGCGTGCAGAAACCGGAGCAGGTCCAAAGAAGGCTCGGCAGGAGAAGCAGAGACCACCGTTCTCAACCAATGAGCTGTCGACATGGCAGCAGAAATCGGGGTCCCTGGCACCCCCATTCCCCCTCCGCCTCCCCCTCCCCCTCCCCCGGTTCCCCCTGTTCCCCCCATTCCCCCAGGGCCCAGACGGGTGAGGAAGGAGCGGGCGGGGGAGCAGAAGGGGGCGATGGTGATGGTGGTGCTTCCCCCTCCGCGCCCCTCCCCCCCTGCGCCTCCTCCTGCGCCCATGGCGCTGGCGAAGGGGGAGGAGGGGGCGTTCATTGCGCCCGTGGGGGCGCTCTTGAGGGGGGAAGGGGGAGGCATGGAGCGCTGCACAGGGGGACGGGGAAGGGGGTTGAGGAAGAGGGAGGGGAGGCGAGGGGGGTTATGTGGAGGGCGCTTTCATTGCGCCTGTGGGGGCGCTCTTGAGAGGGGATGGGGGAGGCATGGAGCGCTGCACAGGGGGAGAGGGGGGAGGATGGGGAGGTGAGGCAGAGGGGGAGGGGGAGGGAAAGGGGAAGGGGACAGGGGGTATGGGATGGGCAGGGGGGGGAGACAATGGAAGGAGGAGGAGAAGCAGAGAGTGACTGTCATGATACGCGAATGATTTAACAGAAAGAGCTGCCGGCGGCAAACGCCACAGCCCACAGTGGAAAGAGAAGTGGCAACCCAACACCACTCAGAACCGTACAACACCACCACTCCAACACATCCAGCACCACTCAACACCACTTAGTACCGCTCACCTTGGCGGCAGCAACGGAAGTGGCAGCAGTGAGCTGAGAAACAGCCCCTATGACCTGCCCATCGCCCGACAGAAACATCCTCTCGTCCAGCGCCCTATCCCCCGCCTCCACATACGCCTCCTGGTACGCCCCCTCCACCAGATCCACACTCGGCAGCTGGTACCGCTCAGCACCCCTCAGTATCACTCAGAACCACTCAGCACCAGTCCAAACCACACAATACCGCTCAGTACCAATCAGTACCGCTCACCTTGGCAGCGCCAACACTTGTAGTAGCAGTGAGCTGAGAAACAGCCCCAATGACCTGCCCATCGCCCGACAGAAACATCCTTTCATCCAGCGCCCTGTCCCCCACCTCCACATACGCCTCCTGGTACGCCCCCTCCACCAGATCCACACTGGGTGGCCGGTACCGCACAGCACCGCTCAATACCGCTCAGAACCACTCAGAACCAGTCCGAACCACACAAGACCGCTCAGTACCAATCAGTACCGCTCACCTTGGCAGCGCCAACACTTGTAGCAGCAGTGAGCTGAGAAACAGCCCCAATGACCTGCCCATCCCCCAACAGAAACATCCTTTCATCCAGCGCCCTGTCCCCCGCCTCCACATACGCCTCCTGGTACGCCCCCTCCACCAGATCCACACTCGGCAGCGCCGCTGCGTCCTGCAGCAACCCCTCGAACAGAAACAGCCTGTCCGGGCACACCTCCCCCGCGTCGTGCTGCTCGCAGGTTGCTAAGGATGCCTGGCGGGCGAGGCAGCGCGCCATGAGCTGCTGGGTGCGCTCCAGGAGGGCTGAGACTTCCCCCTCGGCTGCCTTGTAGCTCGCACAGAGGGACCCCACCACATCTACCAGACGCTCTCGCCCCGCTCGGCGCGCTGCAGTGTGGGGGAGGAGGAGAGTTCAGGCACCAGTGAGTGAGGGAGACAGCAAGTAACCCCTCAAATAGAAACAGCCGGTCAGGGAGGTCGGCTGCGTCGTGCTGCTCGCACGCTCCCAGGGCGGCCTGGCGGGTGAGGCAGCGCGCCATGAGCTGCTGGGTGCGGTCAAGGAGGGCTGAGACCTCAGCTTCCGCTGCCTTGTAGCTCGCACAGAGGGACCCCACCACATCTACTAGTCGTTCCCTTCCTGCTCGGCGGGCTGTAGTGTAGGGGAGGATGGGATGAGGGAAGTGGAGAGCTTAGGGCTGACATTTCCCCTTCGGCTGCCTTGTAGTGATAAGGTAATGGTAATGGTAGTGGTGGTAATGGTAATGGTAATGGTAGTGGTAATGGTAATGATAATGGTAGTGGTAATGGTAATGGTAATGGTAATGGTAGTGGTAGTGGTAATGGTAATGGTAATGGTAATGGTATTGGTAATGGTAATGGTAATGGTAATGATAATGGTAATGGTAATGGTAGTTTTGGTATTCATAATTATAATGATAATGGTAGTGGTAGTGGTAATGGTAGTGGTAATGGTAATAGTAATGGTAATGGTAATGGTAATGGTAATGGTAGTGGTAGTGGTAATGGAGCTGTGGTACTTACAAAATCTGACAGGGTCTGAGAAGGAGAACCGGCGGAGCGACGGAGGAACGTGGACTATCAGCACCACCTGGTGCAAAGCAAAGGAGAGGGGAAGGCGAAAAGGGAGCACCAACGCGAAGGCGAAAAGGGAGCACCAACGCGGGGGGAGGGGGTGCAAAACGGGAGCACAAAGATTGGTGGGTTGAAAGGAACACGCAGAGGGGGAGGGGGGAATGTGGACAATCAGCACCAGCTGATGCAAAAACTGGAAACGGGGAGGGGGAGGGGGAGGGGGAAGGAAAGACGAAAGGGAGATGATGAAGCAGGGATTGGACAGCTTACAAACCGGGGGGGAGAAGGTGCCAAGGAAAGCAGGGAAAGGGATAGCAGGTGTGCAGAATGGATGGGAAAGGAGAGGGGAGGGGGGATCACAGATCACCTCATTGGTCATGAAAACAGGCAGCAGCATGTGGGGTAGACGCAGCGAAAGAAAGGAATGGAGGAAGACACTCATCATCATGTGCACCATGCCCTGCGCCCCATGCCCTGCGCCCCATGCCCTGCGCTCTGCGCCCTGCGCTCTGCGCTCTGCGCCCTGCGCCCTGTGCCCTGCGCCCCATGTCCCGTGCCATGTGCCATGTGGCTTGTGCCCTCACTCACCAGCGTGCAAAGCATCGCGTTTGTTGCAGTGACAAGATCCGGGAACCTTCTGAGAAGGTGCGCCTTGATGGAGAGGAACAGCAGCCAGCCGAAGCGCATCTCGCGGGAGAACTGGGAGGCCGCAGCAGCGGCAGCAGCGGGAGGAGGTGCGCCCGAAGGGAGGGACGGAGGCGGGGAGCTGATGAAAAGCTCTGCAAACACCTTCTTGTAGTGGCTGGGGTGGTGGTTGGGGGGAGGGGGAAGGGGGGCGGGGAAGCAGGAAAACGGGAAAAAAGAGGTGCAATTTGATTGAGAGGGACGGAGGCGGAGAGCTGATGAAGAACTCTGCAAACACCTTCTTGTAGTGGCTGAGGGGTGGGCAGTGGGGGGTGAGGGGTTTCGGGGATGGGGTTTGGGGAATGGGAGTTGGGGGGCAGGGAAGCAGGGAAAAGGGGGAAAGGAGGTGCATTTTCATGGAGAGGAACAGCCATCAGCCAAAGCGCATCTCCCGGGAGAACTGGGAGGCTGCAGCAGCGGCGGCGGCGGCGGCGGCGGCGGCGGCAGTGGCAGCAGCAGCAGCAGCAGCAGCAGCGGCGGCGGCGGCGGCGGCGGCGGCGGCGGCGGAGGCGGTGGGAGGAGGCGCGCTCGGAGGGTGGGAGGGCGGGGGGGAGGAGATGAAGAGCTCTGCAAACACCTTCTTGTAGTGGCTGGGGGGTAGGGGGTGGTGGGGGGGGGGTAAGGAGGGGAACGGCGCGGAAGGGGGTGGGTGGGAAGGCGGCAAGGGGAGATGAACAATTCTGCGAAAACCTCTTTGTAGTGGCTGGGAGGAGGAGGAGGGTGGGTCGGGGAGAGATGGTGTGGAGGAAAGGGGGAAACGAGGAAAGGAAGAAGGGGAATCAAAGGAAAGCATTGCAAGAGCTCAAACATACCCGTTGTATGCACTGCAATCGAGACGGATTGCGTACATTGAGCTTTGAGACGTACCAGAATAAAGAACGCGCACTCACTATTTTTGAGGCGCAACATTGAGCTTTGAGACGTACCAAAATAAAGAACGTGCACTCACTTGAAGAGCACGATTGCATGAACGAAGTTGGCTTGAAGCTCCTTCACCTGATGGGCAAGGCGAGAGAGGTAAGGGCGAGCAAAGAGAATGAAAGATGGGGAGGAGGGAGAAGGAGAACTGAGGTTGCAAGGCGACGAGATAAAGAGGATCACATCCACAAACGACTGGGGGAGGACTGGAGGCAGGAACTCAAAAGAGAAATACGAGAAGGAACGAAATATGGTCTAGTGATCACTGATACAGCCAGTGACATGAGTTAGGACTCGGATTCACTCGGAGTGACAGCACAGCACATACCTCGAGCCTCTGCTCCCACAAGTCCCCATACGCCGCCTGCATCACAGGGCTGACACGTGGCAGGAAGTTGGCGATCTCCTTGAAGAAATCCACCACTCTGGACATGCCACGTGGGTGTGGTGCAGCAGGATGTGCGAGCGAGACGGTGGGAGAGAAGGGGCATGGGAGGTGGAGAATGGGAGGTGGGGAATGGAAGGGGGGGAAGGGAAGGTGGGGAATGGGAGGTGGGCAGTGGGAGGTGGGGAGTGGGAAGGGAGGGGTACGGGGGGGAACGAGGAAAAGAAAACTCGATCTTGCAGCCAACAATTGCCATGCCTTGCAATGCAATCCCATGCCATCCCACACGCCATGCCATGCCATGCCATGTCACCAATGCGTGCGAGCAACTCATGTGAGCTTGGTGGCAGGAAGCAGCTCAGACAGGGTGAACCAGGGCCACTGCGACCGCAGAGGGAAGCATGCCATACCGTACCATACCAATCCATATCTTACCATACCAATCCATACCGTACCATACCGTGTCACAGCACTGGCAACTCACGTCAGCTTGGTGGCGCGCAGCAGCTCAGACAGGGTGAACCAGGGCCACTGGGACCGTGAGGATCCGGGTGGCACGATTTGTCCTGCTCTGGCGGCCGCCTCCTCGGCTGCTTTCGCGGGGCCCAGCTTCCGCACCACAAACAGCACACACGCGCTCCAGGCGCGCTCGCTGTCGTCCGGGGACTGGAAGAGATGGGGGGTTGGGAAAATGGGGGGTTGGGAAAATGGGGGGTTGGGAAAACGGGGGGTTGGGAAAATGGGGGGTTGGGAAAATGGGGGGTTGGGAAAATGGGGGGTTGGTTGGGAAAATGGGGGGTTGGGATCAGGGGATATCTAGGAAATGCAAAGCTTCAGCACCACGAACAGCACACACGCGCTCCATGCGCGCTCGCTGTCGTCCGGGGACTGGAAGAGATGGGGGGTTGGGAAAATGGGGGGTTGGGAAAATGGGGGGTTGGGAAAATGGGGGGTTGGGAAAATGGGGGGTTGGGAAAATGGGGGGTTGGTTGGGAAAATGGGGGGTTGGGATCAGGGGATATCTAGGAAATGCAAAGCTTCCGCACCACGAACAGCACACACGCGCTCCATGCGCGCTCGCTGTCGTCCGGAGACTAGGGGAGAGGGGGGGGAATGAGGAGATGGAGGGGGGAAGGAGCAGTATCCGTCAGGTGGTCTCATGGTAATGCCAAGCTTCCGCACCACGAACAGCACACACGCACTCCACGCGCGCTCGCTGTCGTCCGGAGACTGGGGGAATTGGGTTGAAGAGTCGGAAAATACGCGCACAAACTAATGTGAGGCCTCACGCACGGCTGCGGCGACGGTGCAGATGAGCTACGAAAAAGACGGACAAGCTGACGGACAGACGGATGAATGACGGGCGGACGGACGGGGGAACGGAAGGCGGACGGAAGGACGGACGGATATGTGGGACGGACGGGGGATCGGTGGGACGGACTGAAGGACGGACAGAAGAACGGATTGACGGGAGGACGCACCTCGGGGGCGCCGAAGGAAGCGAGGGAGGGCGCGAGGAGCGCGTAGCAGGCGGAGAAGAGCTCCATTGCCTGCTGCTGCATTGCGCCGTCCATGCGCAGATGGGTCTGCGCGCGCGCGGGGAATGTGGAGAGCGCAGGGGGAAGCGGGGCAGGGGGAAAGCACACGGGGGAAGGAAGAGGGAACGTGAGCGTGAGTTGGGCTAATGGATGGAAAGCGGAGAAGAGCTCCATTGCCTGCTGCTGCATTGCGCCGTCCATGCGCAGATGGGTCTGCGGAGAGCGCCCAGGGGAACGCGGAAAGCGCACAATGGAGAGGGGGACGGGGGAAACGAAGGGCAAAGGGGGAGGAAGAGGGAAGTTGGGAATATCAATGAAAAGCGAAAAAGGGTTTCCCGGGCTGGTGCATGGCGGCGTGCGCAGATGGGTCTGGGCGCATGGGAGAAAGAGCGGCGGAACGGGAGACGGGGGAGGCGGAGTGCGCAGGGGGGACTGCGGAAATGAATATGCCGGCATCGGGGGAGATGGGGGGAACCGGAAGACAGGGTGGGGGACGAAATGATACCCCTTTTCTCCGTGACTGACTACCCAATGTCTGGTAACAATCACTCTTCATCTACAGTCTCAGTACAATGTGACCTAATCGTGTCGACGCTCACCGTAGTCACACCCCGCTCTACTCCTAATATAGTCACACCCGCAGAGGCTCACCGTGATCAGGTCCCTGAACCGCTCCCGCCACGCATCTGGAAGGCTGACAGCTTGAGAGGTCTTCCCTTCAAAATAGTCACCAACCGCGCCCTGCGCATCGGTAGGGCTCTGGGTCGCCATCGCAGCGTCCATTTCGCCGGTCTGCGAGCTTGGCGTCGCGTCGCGTCGACCGCTAGCTCGCAGCCCGGCTCGACGTCGCCTAACGCGCGCGTGGATCACTTAGCCGTTCGCAGTAACGCTCAATTGCGAGCTTCACGCCGATCGCAACGAGCACCAGGCGGACCTATGATCTACCAGCGGAGGGCAACAGTGGGAGGGCAACAGCGGCCGAAAGACTAAGTAACTATGAGCTGGCGAATCGTAGTACGCGCACAGATTCTGACACAAACCCCCGGCTCGACTGGCAGCTGAGCGATCGGAACCTTCGCGACAGGAGGCCGCGTGGAAAAGATGCTGCTGCTGCTCGATCGAGAACCGCGACAAGGCAGAGCGCAAAGCTAAGTGCACACTCCTGCCAAGTGCACCTCTGAGAGCTGCAGCTTAGACCATGGAGCTTGAGTAAAGACGTCGCTGCCGAGCTGAGTCCCGCAAATCCTCCCTTCCCTTCTTCTCCAGCAGTTCGTGTACTAAGTTTCGCTTTATCGCCGGGTTGACATTAGCTAGTCGCGCACCGCGAGGTCTGCCAATGATGCACTAATCCAGACTACTGGCTGGCGGCATAGACCGTACAGGCGTTAGACAACGAGCGGAGGAGATCCTAAGGCCGAGACAGTAAGGAAGCAGATAAAAAAACGTTTTCTAGGAGCTGGCTTGACGGTCAAGTCCCATGAGTCAAGTTGCGCAATCATGGGTGCTAAATATCCCTCCGCGACATACTAAACGGAGGGCGGAGATGGAAGGAACTGATTCTGCTGAACCGAACCGACGGTTTCGATTTGATGGAGGTGAGGGCCTGCTCTGCACGGAACAGACGTTTTCAAGGGTCGTGGTGGAGCTGGCGGATGAAATGGCGCGGAGACAGCGCACCCCGACTTTCCCCGCGCCGAGAGGAAAAGGCCCCGTGGTGTTCCGCCTCCACGAGAAACTCCGCCCCTAGCCACCACAGAACCGGTGAAGCACAGATTTGGTGGTCCCAAGTGGTGTTCCCGCACTGACAATAGCACACGTGGATGAGCAACATTGGTTTACTATGCTGCACCTTCAGAACTTGCTTCTGAAAGCCAATCAGGCATAAGGGCGCCAAGGTGCCTGTCGGAAATCGACGCTGCGCTGAAGCACACCAAAATACTCAATACAGGATGGTCCTATACACTGTGGAAACATTTTACAAATGTGGAAAACAAGCAAAATAAGTTGACCTTTCTAGGAAAGGTGAATTTCCTCTAGGAGTCGTGCTCAAGAGACAGACCACATCACGCACGATTGGAAAGCACCTTTTTCTTTGCAAGCTGTAGTGTCCATAACAGAGGTGACACACACATTCAGCAAGCAGGTGTTTAGGACCTTCCGGTAAAAAAAGCAGAACAGATCTTGAACTTGAAGGTCCATGGTCCGTACGTTGTCACACGCTCGTAGTGGATGGAACTAGCTCAACTCCGAACAACAAAGGCCATTTCTTGTCTTCCTTGCTCTCAATCACTGGCGTGTGTTGCCCACTACTGTTCTTGGTTCCCAAAACTCTGCCTGAATGGCCACCAGAAGATGCATCACGCAGCACAGCCACTCGGTGGTGTCGCAATCGATTCGTCGCAGCCTTGGTGAGCAATGGGCATGTGAGAGTAGCAGCCAGGACAGACTGCGGGGAGGATGCAACCACTCGCTTCACCTCCGCAAGCAACCTTGCTCGTTTGCAATCCGAGGTCACAACTTCCGACCCAGAACATGCGTTCTCCAAGGTTTTTTCCTCTATCGGCGTAGCTTCTCGCGATTGCGGCTGGCTCATGCACTCCCTCGCAAGAACGCTACGAGCACCACACACGCCGCGCAGAGCAGACAATCCTTCCATGGAAGCTGGCCGAGGAAAAACTTTTGCTGCTGCTGTGACCGCTGCAGACACCGCTTGAATGGAGTCAGGCTGACGTGTGAAGGCCGCAGATCCCAGGTTGCTTCGACCACTGCCATGACTGCTGCTGCTGCTGCTGCACCTGCTGCTGGCGCGACCAGCCCCGTGGTTCAAAAGGTTGTCTCTCAGCCTGCGTTGCGGATCGCATGCTGGCAACGCACTGCTGCTTGGGGTAACCACCCCTGAAGGTGCAATAGCGGGGACAAGGACCGACTGCTGCGACCTCAGCATCGCCGACTGGCTCAGCAGATATGAACTTATACCCGATATAACAGGATCTTTTTCGCGGGTCTTCTCCGAGTTCGACGCGGAATGAGTCGGAGTCACGTTGTCCAGGCCGCTACGCCCCGGAGTTTCCATAAAAATCGGATTGTTCTTGGCGAGACTGACGGCGTTTAATCTGGAACGGACAGGGTAAGGCTCGAGCCTCGCCCGGAAAAGATCGTCAAACGTTTCAGTCCAAGTCCGCTTCTTGGCGACGACGGCGGGAGCGGCAACAGCGCCGGGAGCGGCAGTTGCGGTGGATGAGAAATTGGAGCCGCTTGACAAAGGGGTTGAGTAAGTATTAATGCTCTGTAGAACATTCGAGCCTGCTACTCTGTCTCTAGAACGCATCTTAGCGGTTTCTGGAACCGCCAGCCGCGATGCTAGCATGGCACGAGCGACTATCTTGAAGTTGCGTGCTTCTTCCATGCTGGCCTTGGGGTGAAAATTGAAGAGTCGATTCTCAAGTTTCTGTCAAAATCTCAAGGACTCTTTCAGATGGCTTACGGGAAGGCAAATGCGGTGGGATAGATCAATGGAAGGAAACCCTTCAGGAAAGCTTTCGATGATGACTACGGTCTCTGACGTCGCTAGAACGATCTGATATTGAATGGCGACTGGCGAACGGATAAATATTCTGTAAATGTGGGTCAAGAGGTCGAATGCCGTCAGGGAACAAATCAGCACGGCTCACGCTCACAGCGCACGGTTCGACTCGATCCCTCGAGTCCCGACTCGGCCCCTCGATTCGAGTCGTCGATACGCGTGTGGTAGGTAACAGGTACAGCGTTTCGTTGCGAAGCCACTCTTAGCAGCAGAGAGCTTGCACAGTGGAACGAGCCATTGATTACAGTCTGTCGGGTGTGGCTCAGCAGCGAAGAGGGTAAAAGCCATGGGGTTGCACTGTAAGCGCATCGCTAAGCTATGGCGAACGGCGTTTAGGAGAACGACGACCACGTCAGATCCGTTGCAGATCGAATGTAAATCACATCGGATACCTGCATGCGCTCACCACCAACACACTAACGCAGCACATGCGATGCGACCTACTCATACGCAAGGGGACAAGTGGAAACGTTACTGTTCCGTATTGAAAGGAACACGTCAGATAGGTGGGCCCATAAGGAAGCTGCCGAGGTTCGCCAGGTAAGGTGAGGTAAGGAGGAGGTACAGTAAGAGGAGGCTCTCTCCATGTTCTGCTTCCTAATAAAATTGGCGGTTGATTCTGCGGCATGTGCCAACGGCTATTGCGATAGGCGGTTGCGTTTTAATGAAAATGTCCACGTCGTGACCAACTGGAAAGTGAAGGAGCGATCCTTTGCCAACCAACACAGAATGCACGGCCATGGGGAAGATTTTACAGAGCACGAAGTGGCGTCAGCCTATTGCAACAATAAAGCCCATTAATGGCTCCCAGCTCAAAAGAGATTTCTGGAACACCTCGAGGCAGATCTTAGTTCAGAACTCTCGTCCTCGCGGGAACAAATGCTCATCCACACAAAGTTACGAATACGGACTGGTTTAGGTTCATCAGGTTCTGTGAGGGGAACACGTAAACCTGTTCTAGTGTCAGAAAATCTCATAATGTTCCACCACCTATCAGTATGCCGCATGATATCTGGAGGTCAGAAGTCGTATCCCGTATGACTCCAGGATCTACTCAATATCGAGGAACATGTGAGGGGGTGTTGGGGACGAACTTTCTTACAGGTGGCACGCCATGGGCGGGATTAACGCCGTGGTTTGTTGGGCAGGTGGGTCAGTGTCTCCACAGACACGCACGGACCATGGGGAACCGATATGCTTTGTACAGTGATTTGCAGTGAGAAATTTCGACAGTGCTTGGAAGAGTTGTGTCGTAGTTGTTGGCGCGGACAAACTCTAGGCTGCTTCATCCTCTATTTTTCTTGCCCCATTATATATCACAGAACTCTTCTTCACACATTAATGATTAATGTACGCAAGTTGTGAAATATAGCTTGAGAAGATATGCATGTTTACAAGTTTACAGATCACAGACACAATATTGAGTAAATTATCTCTTAATTTATTCTTTAACAATGAAAAAAATTTACGTCTTTCATACATCATGTCCTTCCCCTAATTACTGTCCATGCAAACCAGGTTTTGTAGTTTTATTTGCTACATATTTCTGGCTCTCTATCGTATCCTCCATTATACTCGCGAAATTTCCAGAAGCGGCCTCTTCTCGAAAACGAGTCCTTCGCGATGAACCTGGAATCAGCTCCGGGCCCACGCAATCGCCACCGTCAACGCTTCCTTCCACTTCACGCCAACGGTGACTAGCAGGATGAGCTTCTGGTGACTACCCGAAACCACGGAAGCAAACTGAACCGCGCCGCTAATGACGCGGCACTCATTCCGTAATCCACGTGGAAGAGGGACACTTCTGGACGCCACGTGTGGTGCCACCATATTAGCAAACTCAGCGGCCGTTAGCACATCATTCAACATTTTGACGACTACTACCAGTGCATTCAGCAACTCTATTTCGCAACGCTCTGACGATCGCAGTCCCTTGCTTACAAACCAGTAACAACACATTTGAAATCTGCTCCTGGCGAATTGGCGAATTGTTGGCGACTTGTGACCGTCAGTTTCTGCTGCTTCTAGCTGCTTCTGCTGGCCCTCCACTTCAGAACTCTTCGCTCGTGCCTTCAATACTTATCCAATCTCACAGACCTTGAAATTTCCCTCCGTATTCTCCTTACCTCAGTTTCTGATCCCGGATTCCTGGGTTCTTTTCCCGCACGGACTCGCGAGCTCTGTTTCACTAAGAGCTTCAGAATCGCCTGCCTGACTCTCCTTTGACGATTTCCTTCACAGCACACTCGTCGCTCGTTCTTCGTCAAAGAACAATGGCTGCCGTTTCACAGTCCGTTCACGCCGCCGCGCAGGGCCTGAGTGGCCTCCGCGTCTCAGGGCCTGCTCAGAAGGCCACTGGCGTTCGCAACGCCAACTTCTTCTCGGGATCTTCCTCGCTCAAGGCCGCCATTGCCAAGAAGGCTGCCAGGTAAGCTCCTCCCGATTTCACCAACAAATGGAAGCCAAACTATCGTATGTAGAGATATGCTTCGGTGCGCCACTCCGCCAGGGTTTATTCACGAGCAAGAAACCCGACGGTGATGAAATCCATCGTATTACCCCATCAGTTATCTCTGGGTCTCGAGGGAGCTCAAGTTTTTGAATCCTTACGTGCTTTCTCGTTTCCGTTTTTTTTTTTTTTTTTTTTTTTTTTTTTTTCCATGGTTCCATTCGCTGACCTCGCTTGCTCTGCGATCTCTGATCTCTCTCCGACCTCTCTCCGACCTCTGTCCGACCTCTCTCCAGGTGCAAGGCTGCTGGTTCCAAGTCCGATGGTCGCCTCTATGTGGTTTGCGAGAAGGTGGTGGGAATCGATCTCGGGACCACCAACTCCGCCGTCGCAGCGATGGAGGGAGGCAAGCCGACGATCGTCACCAACGCCGAGGGCCAGCGCACGACGCCGTCCGTCGTCGCATACACGAAGAACGGCGACAGGCTCGTCGGACAGATCGCCAAGCGACAGGCCGTCGTGAATCCCGAGAACACGTTCTTTTCGGTGAAGAGGTTCATCGGGCGGAAGATGGACGAGGTTAAAGACGAGTCGAAGCAGGTGTCTTACCACGTGATTCGCGACGCGAACGGGAATGTGAAGCTCGAGTGCCCGGCCATCGGGAAGCAGTTCGCCGCGGAGGAAATTTCCGCGCAGGTGCTGCGCAAGCTGGTCGACGACGCGGCGAAGTTCCTCAACGACAAGGTGACGAAGGCGGTGGTAACCGTTCCCGCGTACTTCAACGACAGCCAGAGGACGGCGACTAAGGACGCGGGTCGCATCGCCGGCATCGACGTGCTTCGTATCATCAACGAGCCTACCGCCGCGTCGCTCGCGTACGGGTTCGACAAGAAGAGCAACGAGACGATTCTCGTTTTCGACCTCGGAGGCGGAACCTTCGACGTGTCTGGTAAGTCAGATGTGAAATAATGACTTGCTCATACGAATCCCAACTTGCTGGAATGTGCCGTTTTTTTCCTCCCTTTAGCTCCTTCCATTCTTTCTCGGCCATTCGCCCTTAGTCTGGTCTTCCTCGCCTTTTTTTTCCCCTGTTCTCCGCTCTCGCTCACTAACCCCTGTTCTCTTTTCAACCCTGCTGCTCGTGCTTCCATTCCGCTTCGCTCGCCAGTTCTGGAGGTGGGTGACGGCGTGTTCGAGGTGCTGTCAACCTCCGGCGACACGCACCTGGGAGGCGACGACTTCGACAAGCGCATCGTGGACTGGCTGGCGGACGCGTTCAAGCGCGACGAGGGCGTGGACCTCACCAAGGACAAGCAGGCGCTGCAGCGACTCACCGAGGCTGCGGAGAAGGCCAAGATGGAGCTTTCCACCCTCACGCAGACCTCCATCAGGTAGGGTTTGCGGCAGATGTTTTTGGATGACGCAGGGCTGAGCTTTTAGGGTTTGGGATTTCGAGAGTGGAAATTCATAGCAGCCGGAATGTTTGACATTTGAGCTGAATGGACCTTATGCTCAAATCAGCAACCCACGCACTATCTCAACCACTTTGACACCAACCCATAACATTGCTTTAATGCTCATGATTTGCACTGTCTGTTCGCTCCCCCCTTCAATCCCCTTTCTCCGTTCAGCCTGCCGTTCATCACGGCGACGGCGGACGGTCCCAAGCACATTGACACGAACCTCACTCGCGCCAAGTTCGAGGAGCTCTGCTCCGACCTGCTCGACAGGTGAGCTTGCAATCTTTCAGTCGAAAAGTAGAAATATACACAAGATTGTTAACTCTAAACTTGTCTCTGGAACCTTTTGGTCATGCCTCACCCGGGGAACTATGTCACTCAGCAGTCTCAGCAACTTAAACTTGCTAAACTTCCATTCTGCGCCCTCTCTCCTTCCCCCAGGTGCAAGACCCCGGTCGAGACTGCTCTCCGTGATGCCAAGCTCAACTACTCGGATCTCCAGGAGGTGATTCTCGTCGGCGGCTCTACCCGTATCCCTGCCGTGCAAGAGCTTGTGAAGAAGCTCACAGGCAAGGAACCCAACGTGTCCGTGAACCCCGACGAGGTTGTCGCTCTCGGCGCTGCTGTGCAAGCCGGAGTGCTGGCAGGTGAAGTCTCGGATATCGTTCTGCTGGACGTGACCCCACTGTCTCTCGGCCTGGAGACTCTCGGAGGGGTGATGACCAAGATTATCCCAAGGAACACGACTCTCCCCACGTCGAAATCCGAGGTGTTTTCGACCGCGGCTGACGGGCAGACCAGCGTGGAGATTAATGTTCTTCAGGGCGAGCGTGAGTTCGTTCGCGATAACAAGTCCCTCGGAAGCTTCCGATTGGACGGCATTCCTCCTGCTCCCCGCGGCATCCCGCAAATCGAAGTCCGGTTTGACATCGATGCGAATGGTATCCTCTCAGTGCAAGCTTCGGATAAGGGAACTGGCAAGAAGCAGGATATCACCATCACGGGCGCCTCAACCCTTCCCAAGGACGAGGTTGCCAAGATGGTGGAGGAAGCTGAGAAATTCGCAGCGGAGGATAAGGAGAAGAGAGAGGCGGTTGATGTGAAGAACCAGGCTGATTCCATGATCTACCAGACTGAGAAGCAGCTCAAGGAGCTTGCTGAGAAGGTTCCTGCGGACGTGAAGGCGGGGGTTGAGGCTAAGGTGGCTGATCTGAAGGCTGTGGCTGGCGGGGATAACATCCAGGCGATCAAGGACAAGATGAACGATCTGAACCAGGAGGTGATGAAGCTTGGTCAGGCTGTGTACTCGCAAGGAGGGGCCCCTGGTGCTGATGGTGCTGCTCCTGGCGCTGGTCCCTCACCTGGCGGTGCTGCTGGCGGCAACCCCAATGACGTGATTGATGCCGACTTCACTGATTCGAAATGAGTGTAGTGAATGAGCTTAGAAATGAATGCACAGGGATGTTGGAGAATGAAGCACGCAGTAGAGTTTAGTATGCTGCCTGGGTTTGCACTTTGCAGCACTTGGTGTTTACCTTTTTTGACTGATTAGTTTCTTTTTATTACTGCTGTGTTATTCACTCATGATTGTGCCAATGTTCACAAGTGTGAAGGTTCAAATCATGACAGAAGTCACCTCACCTACCACTAGGAAATTGTATCACAATTCTCATCATCAGCTTACTAATTTACAAGATAGGTTGGTGAACTGACAGTGATAGTTTATCCTGATTGTGAAGGTGGATGTAGTGGCTCGTCATTTGCAAGGTGTATCATTATGCCATATTTTCACACTTTCCTTGCCACTCAAAATGTGGTAAGAGTGCCCAGTGCAGGAGAGTAAGGTACCGGTATAATCTGTACTCAATTTCAGACTAGCAAACAATCATACAGAAAGTAGCTGAGATGTTTGACATGCAGGAAAGGCACATCACATGTATCATGTGCCACTCTGCCAGACTAGACAGCTGAGGAGCCAGATGAACATGCTGCAAAGGCAAGGAGTCACACAGGCCAAAGAAATTAACGTACGTGACTGACACCCGCAGCAGTTGCAAGTAGCAACTTTTGTACTGCAAGAGGAGGTAACTCCAGTAGCAGCAAAGAGAAGAGATGGCGGAGGGAAAATGAAGGGGTGAGTGGGAGAAAGGCATGGAGGGAACTTAAGGAGCACTGTGAGGAGATGGCGGGTGGGCGGAGGGGGAATGAGGGAAACTGTGTGGGGGGGGGGGGGGGGGGGGGGGGGGGGGGGGGAGGGGGGAGGGTGTCTGGAGAGAAGGATGTATGGGGGATGCAAATGAGGAGTGAATGGGTGGGGGCAGATGAGGGGGGAGCGGGGGGGATGTGAGGGGATGGTGGGGAGGATGCGGGATGGTTAGGACGGAGATGAAGAGGAGAGGAGGGTGAGGGAGATGAGGGGTAATGGGAGGGAAAGTGGGAGGGGAGCAGACGGAGTGAGGGACGACGGGTGGGGGGTGGGAAGAGAGGGGACGGAGTGATGAGGGTTGAGTGCGGAGTGGGGGGAGAGGGGGGGAAAGGGTGAAGGGGGGGACAAGAGGCGAGCGGAGGGGAGATGAGGGGTGGGTGCAAAAGGGTCGAGAAGGGGAGCACGGGGGGAAAAGCAGCGGAGGCGACGAAGTGAGGGTTGATGGGTGGGGGGTGGGAGATGGGACGGAGTGGTAGGGGGGTAGAGGAAGTGGAAGGTCAGAGGAAGTGTGGGGGGGTAGGGGGACAAAAGCGCAGGGACGGAAACGGCGAATGAATCAGGGGAAAGAGGCCACTCCACCTGTCACCTGTCGCCAGTCCTCTGCGTTTTGGATTCTGTTACGCGCTTCCAAAACGGACATCCACCAGTCGATCCCCCCACCCGCTCACTTACCTCTAACCTCCCCTCTCGACATCCCCTTTTCCACAGTTTTGCGCATCAGTCGGGCTACTGTGGCTTGCGTTCGTAACATGCGTTTGCATGATAAGTCTCCAGTGATAGAAGCAGCGAATGCCGCCCCATTTTTTTTTCTTCAACCCAAAAAGTCGCACCGCACATACACGTTACGAATGTGTCATCAGATCGGCACAATATTATCCGCATCGCAGAAAAACGATCAAGTCCGCAAATAGTATAGAACTTAAAGAATTGTCAGATCTTACCAGTACAGCTATACGCCAATTACCAACTCTGGCGGGAACCTGGAGACAATAACTAAAAGCGCTTCCCTAAAAATAGCAGTAGTAATCGCACTAGATGTGTGAAACGGCGAAAGTAGGACTGAAGCGGGATCGAGACTAGCTACGGTACTGAGATCTAACTAGTTACTGCAACAAGATCAGGGACTCCATGTGAAAAATAACTACCGCTTTTGCATCCAACATCAGTAAGCAAGGGTAGCGAGACGGTGACGGGAGAACTAATCGTCGCTCTTCGATCTAACTGATCTAGCTAACTGGATAATAAGAATAAGGTATGGCAGGTAAGAAATTGTGAGGTTGGGGCTGTTGATTCGGAGCCGTGGTTGCGGAAGGGTGACAGACAGAAACATTCCGTGCTGCCGTGGAAGCACCTTTCATTCCTATTGGCTTGCGAAATGCCTTCAAGATAACATTTGTAATTTCAGCTGCCCAGGTGAGGTTCGGAGGCGCAAACAAAATTTGCGAAAACAGCCTAAACTTACCGCGCCACCCAAGAATTTCCCTACTATCCCTCCGCCGTCCCGCACCTTACGCCAAACTCGCGCAAAATCTCGATATTATTTAGAAAAGCGCCACGTCCAATACCTCCTAGAATGTTCAAGCCTGCCCTAGCCTATACCCACTCAAACACAATACGCGCCCTCAGCAGATTCGTTTGCAGGAAGAGCAACACAAACCAGAATTTCAAAATCAACCAGTTTGTGAAAGAGATGTACAGCTTGGATTGGTTGGGTTCGGCTCGGAAGTTTGGGCCGCCTCACATTGCCAAGACATGCGGCTCGGGTTGACGGATTCAAGCCGACAAGGCCGTCAACGCAACTTCTAGGCGGGGATTTTTGAATTCGCCACCACTTGCGGCGTTGACCCATCACATTTGGGTTGGAACTGCACTGTTTCGCGCCGTGGCGCCGCTAAACAACAGCCACTCTGGTTTTGGTTGGATTGAATTCACTCATCCGCGGCACGGAACCATGCTTCATCCTCCTCGCTCTCACAACTCACTCCTGTAAAGTCCCATTCATGGCGTTCATTCCCAGTTTTTTCCTTCGCGAATTCAATGAAGGAATTCCAGGAAAGCTCCAACTTTTTTAACTCTGTTTGGACTTCTGACTATTAGCTCCTCGGAGCAAACTCAAGCTATCTGAGCCACCCGGTTAGTAAATGGGGAAAGCTTAGGCATGAAGCAGCGTGAGGTCGCATAGACTAGAGTCTCGTTAGAATAGCGTGGTTGGGGTGGGTTGGGTAGATTAGAGTCGAGTCTGAGCGAGCTGCCAAGTGCCTAAGGCTGAACCATTTACAAAACCGGGTTTTCGCGGAAATATTTTCACCGCGACGAATACAAGATATCACCGCAACATCTGCATGGCGGGATCTTCTCTGCCAATTACTTCCACGGCGATATCTTCGCGGCGAGATCTTGATGGCGAAATGACTCCGTTCCAAGATCGCTGCTGCAGGAGCTTCAGGTGTCGCATGGCGCTTCCCCTGCTGGCGCGGCCTTCCTCTTTGCTGCTGCCAAGACAAGTCTCACCAGATGGTAAGTCCATTTGTTTTTCAACTTCTTGCTGCAAGTGTTTTTGACCGGTTAAGTTTTAAAAATATTCAACATTGTTTAGCTGCTAATCTGTTGTTTTCCTCCCGTAGACCTCTTGGCAACCATCTTGGCGAGACTCGCAGCGCCGACCATGAGACTTGAGCCGTCTACGACACCCGCTTTTGAAGAAGCTCTTCTCCGCAAGATCTGCGAGCCAAGATCTTTACGCCAAGATCTCCACTTCAAGGTCTCCACCCGCAAGATCTTCACGGCAAAAATCTTCCAAGGCGAGACCGTCACGGAGCCGTCAACGCAAGTCGTCAATGCAAGCGCTTCAAGTGGCCTTCCCCATCGGTGTCCCCGTCTTACGAAGACAGCCGAGTGGGGGTAAGCACAACCTTCTTTCAACTTCTTCCTGCAACCTTCTTTTAAATTGCTCAGCATTGTTCAAGCACTAACCTCTTGCTTGCTTCCATGCAGACCTCTTGGCGACCTTCTTGGCGATAGGAGCTTCAACCATTAAGTCGGACGTGGATAGGAGTTTCGATCGTCGCTTGTTTTGCGGAATGGCGCTTTGACCTTTGGAAAGACGCCTTCAAGTGAACCTCGCCGATCGGAGAATCTCACCATCGCCGTTAGCGCTTCGAGCTCCGGATGCAAGGACCTAAGCCCGGCCTTGCCAACTATCGTCGCCGATGGCGCTTCGACCGTCGCCGAGGTAAGCGAAGTACAGCTCAAACATTTTCCTTCATTTACTTCTATATCGCTGTCTAACAACAATCTGTTGCCTTCTTCCTGCAGATCCGGCGACCGTCTTGACTTGGGAGCCAACCAGGACCTTTGGATCGCGTCGCGGACTCGATCGGCTTTGCTGTCACGATCGCCGATGCTGACGTCGAGACGCGGCGGCCAGGTTGGGGTAAGTGATTCCTACTTCTAAGTTAACCTTCCGTCTTTCGTAGTACTAATGTGTAGTCCGCCTTCTTCTTGCAGACCGTCTTGGCGACCGATAATGGCACGTGAACGACTAAACCGTCAACGACGACGAGTCTAAAGTCGGCGACGACGATACTGCCGGACGACCCTAGGCGAAGCTTCTACCGTCAATGTCGCAAGGGACCGACATGCAGCGAGACGCGCCGACATGGACTGAGAAGCGCTCGTCCAGAGATGCCGTTTGGGTCGGGAGAGAAAAGTCTACTTTCCGTTTTCTTTTAACATATTTCATAGTACTAATGTACTGCCTTTTTCCTGCAGACATCGGCAGCCTCCTTCTTCTGTGGTCGCGTCGCGTCGCATCGCCAGGATCTTCGCGGGAGAATTTTCGCCGGGACGCGCTCGCCTATAGATGATTGTCAAGTCAACTTTCCGTAAAGTGAGTAAAGTCTTCATTAAGTCAACTTTCCGTTTTCTTATTCACTATTTTCAGCACTAATGCACTTCCTTTCTTCCTGCAGTCCTGGGCGACTGTCTTGGCGACCGGCGATCTCCTTGACGACCGAAGGTGGCGCTTCTCTGGTCGACGAAAGGCGACCTATGGCGACCGAAGCTGACGTGCGACGTATGGCGACAAAAGGCGATGAATGGTGAACCCGCATGGCGACGGTTCTTCGGTTCTCCCTTCGATGGCGTGTCGCAAGCGGACGGCAACGGTTGGCGTCACTTGGTCCGTCGCCGACGGTAGCGGATCTCTCCGCCCCCCCTCCCGCTCCACTGCCCCATCCGGCGACAACCATCCACTGCCCCTCGTGACGACTACATCGACCGTCCCCAGCAACGACAACAACGGTAAAGGCACCGGCGGCTTTCACGGTAAGAATTGTCTTATTCCGTTTTGCTGCTTCCTTTTCTAACTCCTTGTCGTGTCCCTAGTGCAGTAGGAGGAGCAGGCAACACGGCAGCAACTGCAGCGAGTAAGGGAGGTAAAGGAGAGCTAGCTCTCCCTCTCCTCTAAACTGGTAAGTTCCGTCAATTTCTGTTAATTTTTTTCTTCATTTTGGAAACTAATCCCTTCTGTCTGTTCCTCTCTCTTAGCGCAGCGGTAGAGGCGGGTGGGAGCTCGCGGGGACAACGGCGAGCAAAGGAGGTAACACGAGGAGGTGGTCTCCCTTGCCTGGTAAGTTTCGTCAATTTCATTCAAGTTATTTCCTTTTCAAAGAATCTAACTTATTTTAAGTGCGTTCTTCTTTAGCGCAGGCGATGCGGGGATGGGAGCTCGCTTGCCGCGTGGCGACGCTTCTTCGGGGTCGTCTTACGCGCGCGCGGCGGGGCATCGGAGCACGGCGCACGGTGCGTAACGGCACTTCTCTCTGCTGTGGTCGTCAAATTTTCGCTCGTCGCCTTTCTGCTCGTCGCCTTTTCGCCGTCGCCTTTTGCGCTGCTCTCCGTTTCGTTTTCAAAATGTCTAATGCCCTTTTTGTTGTCGTCTCTGGTGCAGGAATCTCAAGGGAGGAGACGCGTGTGTACGAGGAGGTGGCTGGAGCGAGGAGGGATTTGCTTGAAACCCGGGTTTGGAGATTCGGTGTTACACACGTGGCCTCCATTTGCTCGTGTGATTCGACATTTGACCGATAATTTCTCAAGTAACCTTGCCAGGGGATCCTCGCAGCCTTTTTTTTCCCAGGACAGTACCCCACAAGCAATTTTATTCCCGTAATTCTTTTAATGCATGATCTCTTTATTGCGCGACCAATGAGCGCTCTGGTCGCGCAATGAAGAAGATTGTGCATTAAAAGAATCTCTGGATTAAAATTCCTTGCAGGGTATTGTGCCGGGTAAGCAAAGGCTGCGGGGTTCCCCTAGAAAGGCCACTTGAGCAATTACCTATCAATTGTCGAATCATGCAAGTAAATGAAGACCACGTGTGCAACACCGAATTGACAAACCTAGGTTTGGAGCAAATCTCTCGAGAAGCTGGCTGGAGCGCGGAGGGAGGACCAAGGAAGGTGTGAGGTCGGAGGAGTTTGACTTCCCCTCAGGCGAAACGCGCGTCTCACGGGCGAATCGCGCGAATCGACCTCCTACAGCAACGGCAACAACGGCAAAAGCCCCGGCGGCTTTCACGGTAAGAATTGTCTAATTCCGTTTTGCTGCTTCCTTTTCCGGATATCTAACTCCTTTGTCGTGTTCCTCTTAGTGCAGCAGGAGGAGCAGGCAACACGGCAACAAACTACAGCGAGTAAGGGAGGTAAAGGAGAGCTAGCTCCCCTTCTCCTCTGTACTGGTAAGTTCCGTCAATTCCTGTTAGCATTTTTCTTTGTTTAGGAACTAACCTTCTCTGTCTGTCCCTTTCCCTTAGCGCAGCGGCAGAGGCGGGTGGGAGCTTGCGGGGACAACGGCGACAAAGGAGGTAACACGGGGAGGTGGTCTTTCTTGCCTGGTAAGTCCGTCAATTTCAGTTCTGTCAATTTCTGTTAAGTTTTTTCTTCGTTTAGGAAACTAAATTTTCCTGTCTCTTAGTGCAGCGGCAGAGGCGGGTGGGAGCTCGCGGGGACAACGGCGAGCAAAGGAGGTAACACGGGGAGGTGGTCTCCCTTGACTGGTAAGTTTCGTCAATTTCATTCAAGTCATTTCCTTTTCAAAGAATCTAACTTATTTTTTTGTGCGTTCTTCTTTAGCGCAGGGGAGATGCGGGGATGGGAGCTCGCGGGCCTCGTGGCGACGCTTCTTCGGGGTCGTCTTACGCGCGCGCGGCGGGGCATCGGAGCACGGCGCACCGCGGCGCACGGTGCGTGGCGGCACTTCTCTCTGCTGTGGTCGTCAATTTTTCGCTCGTCGCCTTTCTGCTCGTCGCCTTTTCGCTGTCGCCTTTTGCGCTGCTCTCTGCCGTTTCGTTTTCAAAATGTATAATGTCCTTTTTTATGTCGTCTGTGGCGCAGGAGTCTTGAGCGAGGAGGCTTCACAAACGTGGAGCGCGGAGCGAGGAGCTGGCTAGAGCGAGGTTGGATCGGAGGAATTTGACTTCCCCTCCCATCCCACCCTTCCCTGCAGAGGAGATTCGGCGGGAACGGGAGCAACCAGCGCAAGCGGGAGCAACCAGCGCAAGCGGGAGCAACCAGCGCATGCGTCAGGCCTGTAAGAGGTGTGGTGCTGGGTACAGGACGATTAGGAGCGCGTTAGCCTAGGCACTCGATTTAGGCACACACATGGGCGATAGTATGGGTTCAGGTGTGTTCAGGTATGCCCCTTGACGGCTGGTCGTCCTCTTGACGGCTGGCTGTCATTCTGACAACAATCTGACATGTTTATTTTCATCTGCCCGTTACTAATTTTTACCGTCCCCCCCTCCCAAGCACTTTCCCCCCCCTCTTTCCCTCCCTCCCAAACAGGCCCCACGCGAATGACCCCCACCTCATCGTGGTGCGTGGGTGTAACGTCAGGGGCATTTGCCTCTGACGGCCAAGAGGGGTCAAGAAGGCGGTGGAGCTGCTGTGGAGGCGTTTGCTGTGGAGGCCCTGCTCTGAAGTCGCTAGTGGAGCTGTCACCTGGCTTCGGGAGCTAGAAAGTTTAGCTTAGAAATCTCTCAGTTCTGATTTGTTACTCTTTTGTATTAACGAATTTCTCTGAACTATTCAGCGCCTTCTTCTGTTAACAACTTCAGTATGAATACAAAGCTGGCTCGTTGGGCGGGGTTCTGTCGTGAAACTTGGATATCCATCCAACAAATGCACGTTAGGTGCAGTTTGCACCAATAAAGGGGGAAAAGACGGGTAACACAAAGTTCAATTGAATCAACTTCCCATTTCACCCTGCGCCGCGACTTCAGCCTAAAAACCCAGATTTGTCCTTTCGCCTGACGGTTCCTTGTGCGCCACATGCATTTCGTGGCGGAAGATGGATCTCGCCACGTCAGCTAGGGCAACTCGTCTCAAATCCAGCCATAATTGGTTTGAATTCCGAATGCTGTGGTCCCTGCTAACCTCAACTTTCCTCCCACATCGCCACACAAGCATCCACCGCCACGCGTTTCCTGAATCCTGGGCCTGTCTGTTGTGGCTTCGACTGCCTCGAGGCAGCTGAAAAGGTGGGAAGGGCGGCAGCGTCAATGGTTTCACCTGCTTGAAGGCGCGCTTCCAGGTTCTAGGTACAGCAGGGTAGGTGAGAGACATGGCTAGGACATGAGAGTTACGCTTTACAGCACATAGTTCCAGAGTCCTAACTCCAGAGCTCGCGTCTCATCAGCCATTATTCTCATGGCTGTTGTTCCCGTAAACGCGTTCTGGTGACGATTCACTGAGACTTGTTCCCAGGCTCTGGTTGTTGGAAATCCGATATACTTCTCACTAATATTTACCTGAGAAAGACTCATTCGCAGAATCTCCGTACAGCTATTGCTTAACTAACTGGCTTAGTGCCACAGATAACCTTGATCTGTGCCGCTTACGATACATCGCAAACAGTTTCCAGCCTGACAGAATGAGTTACGACACGGCTGTTGAGAGCCAGTCGGTTCCGTCGCGCGGCGGAGCGATCTCGATGGAGCAGCACCGGCGCGGACGGCTGCTGAAGCAGCAGCTGCAGCTGGTGGCGCGGAAGACGCCGGACGGCAAGGAGCGCAAGGAGATCGCGGTGATCCCGGAAACTCTATCCTTCGAGAAGGGCTTCTTTCTGTTCATTCGAGCCGTGCAGCTGCTGACTCAGGTGACCTCCGGTGGCATTCGTAGAAGCTCGTTTACTTCGTTTGAGTTCGTTTGAAAACGGTGGCAACGATTAGCGCAAAGGTCAGCGCATCGATCAGCGCAACTTTCGGCGTAAATATAGGCGCAACGGTCGCCACAGCGATCAGCGCAATATTAGTGCGACTACTAGCGCAAGCAGCGGAACGATCAGTGCCGCAATCAATTGAACGGTCAGCGCAATGATCGGCGCAACCATCAGCGCAGCAATTCGCGAAACCACTGGCGCACCTGTCCTCACAGCAATCAGCGTAGCAATCAGCGCAATGATTGGCTCGACGGATCAGCGCAACTACCATATCAAGGATCCGCGCAGCGAAAGAGACGTTCGACGGTCATTGCTCCTAGTTTATCTCCAAACTGATACCCGTTTCAATAATTTCCTGGAAGTAACCCGTTTCGCATGACTTGTCTTAGCTGTCAACATCCCGAATCTGGACGAAACCTTTTGCGGCGCCTCACCGGTCGGCTAGTCTAGTCTCCGAATTGTTACGGAAGTATTCCGTTTTGCCATCTTAGTAGCCATCATATTCCCGAATCTCGGCGAAAACCACCGCAGCTGACCTAATCGCTGACGTGAACCGACGCCGCTGCTGGCCTCGCCGACGTAGTTGCGGTCATGGAAGAAAGGGCTCCCATAGGTTCCCGCCGTCTCGCAGCTTTCGACTCCACCTACCAGCCTTCTTACGATTCCCTTGCCTTCCTCACATCTACCTTCCCGCACCCCCTCCCACACCTCCTTCCGATACCTCCTTTCCACACTGTTTTTCCGTTCTTCCCTCCCGTGCTTTCCTCGCATACCTCCTGCCCATACCTCTTTCCCGCACCTCCCGCCCGCACCTCCCGCCCGTACGTGCCTGCCGTGGCAGAACAACGAAGGCATGGTGCTGGTGGGACTCGCAGGCCCGTCTGGCGCCGGCAAAACGGTCTTCAGCGCCAAGGTATGGCCACGCGCCATTCCATTCTGCGGCTCTGAAACCCCTTGCACGCCGCGGGGATTCCCAAGGTAAGCTAGGGTGACGGCGCGCTGTGACTAGGGAAGTTCCGATAGGGCGCTTGCAAAGCAGGTATGACGGATCAGTGCTGTGTGACTGATACATGTATGACGTCCCCTGACGGTGCGATGGAAAAAAGGTTGGGCTGATGGGTAGCTTGTGCGCTGCTTGCTTGCCGGACGTCGTTGCTTGTGCCTGATCATCCGATGGTCCTGGGTTCCTCCCTGTACGCGTTATTGTGTGCTCCAGGTGCTCAACTTCATGCCTGGCATCACGGTGATCTCTATGGACAACTACAACGTGGCGAGTCGCGTCATCGACGGCAATTTCGATGGTAAGCACCCAGCCATGCCTTAGGCCCTGCCTGATTGTGACTCCCGAGGCTTGCCTCTCCCAATGTCTCCCGTGAACCAATGCCTTAGGCTTGCCTGATTGCCTGATTGTTGTTGTTCACATTGCGCCCCACTCCCTCTTCTTCTCCCCAGACCCGCGCATCACGGATTACGAGCTGCTGCTGAGCAACCTGCAGGGGCTGAGGGAGGGGCGCACAGTGCAGGTGCCAATCTGCGACTTCATAGCTATCCCTCTGTCCTCCCCTCTACTCTTCTCTCCAGACCCGCGCATCACGGACTACGAGCTGCTGCTGAGCAACCTGCAGGGGCTGAGGGAGGGTCGCACGGTTCAAGTACCAATCTATGACTTCAAGAGCAGCACGCGCGTGGGGTTCAGGTGAGGAGGAATTGGTTGGGAGGGGTGTGCATACAAGTGACTGAGGGAGGGGGGGGGAAATTCTGGGACAGTGAAGGTTCCGATGCACGACTTCAAGTGCAGCATGGGCGTAAGGTCTAGGTGAGGGGGAATTGAGAGGGGTGTGCATACAAGTGAGTGAGATGGGGGGGGGGGGGGGGGGGGGGGGGGGGGGGGGGGGGGGGGGGTGTCTCTGGGACAGGGATGTACAGTGCAGGTTCCGATATATGACTTCAAGTGCAGCATGCGCGTGGGGTTCAGGTGAGGGGAAGTGGTGAGGAGGAGGTGAGAGATGGGTGCACATGAGAGATGCGCATACATCTGCTGGACCCCCATACTCCACTCCACCTCACTTCACTCCATCCCGCTCCACTCGATCCTGTTCCATCTCACTGCTCCCCTGCAGAGAAGTGAAAGTCTCTAAGTCGCGCATTGTGATTATAGAGAGCTTTTAGCACTCAACGAGCGCCTCCGCCTGCTGCTGGACCACTCTGCTCCACCCCACTCTAATTCACCCTTCACCCCACTTTACCCCACTCCACTCCTCTTCACCCCACTCCACTCCACTCCACTCCACCCCACTCCACCTCACTCCACCCCACTCCACCCCTCTCCACTCCCCTCCCTCTCTCCCTTCTCCCTTGCAGAGAAGTGAAGTCCCCAAGTCGCGCATTGTGATTATAGAGGGCATCTACGCCCTCAGCGAGCGCCTCCGGCCGCTGCTGGACGTGAGGGTGTCTATAACGGGAGGAGTACACTTTGACCTCGTTAAGAGAGTGCTGCGGGACATCGACCGCTCAGGCCAAGCGCCAGAGGAGATTATACATCAGATCTCGGAGACGGTGTATCCCATGTACAAGGCGTTTATAGAGCCGGATCTACAGACGGCGCATATTCGCATTGTCAACAAGTTCAATCCATTCTCAGGGTTCCAAGATGCGACCTACATCCTCAAGGTGTGCGGTGAAGTTCGGTGCGGTGCAGTGCGGTGCGGTGTGGTGCAGTGAAGTGTAGTGTGCTGCTGTGCGTTTGGTGTGGTGGGGGGTGTGTGGTGTGGTGAGGCGTGGAATGGGATGCAATGTGATGCGGTGTGGTGCGATGTGTTTAGTGTAGTGGGGTGTGTGGTGAGGCGTGGTATGGGATGCGATGTGATGAGCTACTTGACATCAGGACTGTGACCTGTGATCTTTGAATATATCTTCCAGTTCGTCCCCTCCCCCATCCCCTTTACTATCCACATTGCCCAGCGTCCTGTGACTTTTTTCCTTCCTGTCGTCCCCTTCGTTTTTTCCTTCCCAGCGCTCTTAGAGTATGTTTACCCGTTCGTCCCCCCTTCTCCCCTTCACTATCTACATTGCCCAGCTTTCTGTGACTTTTCTCCTTCCCTGCCCAATCTCACCTTCCTTTCGTTGTTTCCTTTCATTTCTTTCCTTTCATTTCTTAGCTGAATATCGACCTTTTTCTTTTCATGCATTTTCCTTTCCTGGTGATTGATTTTTCTTCAGGCGCCCGAAACCGACCCTGCCGAAGCTGAGGCTCGGATCCGGTCCGTGCTGTCTGCCGAGGCAGTGGCAGGCTCGGAGAGCGAGGAGACGTACGACATTTACCTGCTGCCGCCCGGGGAGGACAAGGAGACGTGCCAGTCGTACCTGAGAATGCGCAACAGAGACGGGCGCTACTCCCTCATGTTTGAGGTGCGTGCTCTGCAGCTCTGCCTCTCTTTTTGGTAGTGGATGGCGCACATCCTCAGGAGGGAGGTCTGCTGCGCTGTACCTGCTACCCCTCTCTTTGCCTCTCACTCCCATGTCCCCCTCCCTCCCTTCCTCTCTTCTGCCCTCCTCCCTCCCTCTCTTCTGCCCTCCTCCCTCCCTCTCTTCTGCCCTCCCTCCCTCCCAACCACTCGCCAAGAGTGTTTGACAGGCGTTTGAAGTGAGTGTGCGGCTGCTGGGGGGCTGATGGCGCACATCCTCCAGAGGGAGTCCCGTCTCGTGCTGTGCCTGCTCTGCCGCCCTTTCCTTGGCCTCTCACTCCCATGCTTCCCCTCCCCCCGCCCCCCTCCCTCCCGCCCTCCCTCCCGCCCCCCTCCCTCCCTCCCGCCCTCCCTCCCTCCCTCCCTCCCTCCCTCCCTCCCTCCCTCCCTCCCTCCCTCCCTCCCTCCCTCCCTCCCTCCCTTGTTACCCCACATACCCCTAATCCTCGCTAGGAGTGTGTGACAGACGGCCCCTTTGTGATAACCCCGCGCATCACCTTTGAAGTGAGTGTGCGGCTGCTCTTTCCCTGATCAACCACACCCTTCCTTCTTGCGCTCCCTCCCTCACAACCCCCCTCGCCAGGAGTGTGTGACAGACGGTCCCTTTGTGATAACCCCGCGCATCACCTTTGAAGTGAGTGTGCGGCTGCTGGGGGGCCTCATGGCGCTGGGCTACGAGATGGCGCACATCCTCAGGAGAGACTCGCGCGTCTTCCGAGACAAGCAGCAAAACATCGTCGTGAAGGTGGACCGCCTGGAGCAGATTAAAAAGACCTTCATGCAGGTGAGACGGGGGGGTCTGTTAGGGGGGGTGTGCTGTTGACATGGGCTACGAGATGGCGCACATCCTCAGGAGAGACTCGCGCGTCTTCCGGGACAAGCAGCAAAACATCGTCGTGAAGGTGGACCGGCTGGAGCAGATCAAGAAGAACTTCATGCAGGTGAGCGGGGGCAGCAGGGGCAGCAGGGGCAGCAGCAGGGGTCAGGGATTTCTGGCTCGGGCTGGCAGTGGTAGCGGGCTGGGGAGCTGACGTTGGCGCTGGGCTACGAGATGGCGCACATTCTCCGGAGGGACTCGCGCATCTTCCGCGACAAGCAGCAGAGCTTGGTTGTGAGAGGCCGAGGGGGTGCTCTGCTCACATCACATGAGAATAATGCAGCACATCACATCACATGAGAATAATGCAGCACATCACATCACATGAGAATAATGCAGCACATCACATCACATGAGAATAATGCAGCACATCACATCACACGAGAATAATGCAGCACATCACATCACATGAGAATAATGCAGCACATCACATCACATGAGAATAATGCAGCACATCACATCACATGAGAATAATGCAGCACATCACATCACATGAGAATAATGCAGCACATCACATCACACGAGAATAATGCAGCACATCACATCACACGAGAATAATGCAGCACATCACATCACATGAGAATAATGCAGCACATCACATCACATGAGAATAATGCAGCACATCACATCACATGAGAATAATGCAGCACATCACATCACATGAGAATAATGCAGCACATCACATCACATGAGAATAATGCAGCACATCACATCACATGAGAATAATGCAGCACATCACATCACATGAGAATAATGCAGCACATCACATCACATGGTAGCTGTTCCGAGACACGCAGCACCACGTGGTGGTCAAGGTGGACCGCCTGGAGCAGATCAGGGAAAGGGCCGAAAACGAGTCACAGAAGTAGGGCAGCTGGGCATGGAGGGGAAGTCCAGCCCGCAGCTGTACGGCCCCTGCTGCCACCTGCTGCCTATGTTTTTTTAGAATTCTCAAGAACCATACGCAGATGTACGTCCTCTGCTGCCACCTGCTGCCCTCCCCGCCTCGCTTGCATTTTTCCCCTTCGTTCTTGCAGGATGTACCTTGCGCCATCCCCCCTTCCCCTTCCCGTTCTCGTTCCTCGCCCTTCCTCCCTGCAGGTCCAGGGCAAGGACGGGAAGCGGGTGAGGGAGGGAGATAGCAACGCAGCTGGGCATGGAAGGCAGGTATTGAGGAGATTCAGCTGCACAACCTGCCTCTCCGCACCCTTTTCCACCGCTTCCCACCACTCCCCACCACTTTCCACCCCTACCTTCCGTCCCTTCATTCCTGCAGGTACAACGAAAGGACCGCAAGCGAGTACGGGATATAGCAGCACAGCTGGGCATGGAGGGGAGGTACAGCCCACGGCTGTACATCGAGGAGATTCAGCTGCACAACCCACCCACCACTCCGCACCACTTTCCAACCTTGTTTTCTCGCCCTTTCATTTGTGCAGGTCCAAGGCAAGGACCGCAAACGGGTCAGGGAGGTAGCAACCCAGCTGGGCATGGAGGGTAGGTACAGCCCGCGGCTGTACATCGAAGAGATTCAGCTGCACAACCTGACAGAAGAAGTACAAGCCTTATCAGCAGAGAGTGTGCTCAAGGAGCGGTTCAGAGTGGCCGATCACCTGCTGCCGTCCGGGAGCCCCATGGGCGCTGCACTGTCTTCCTCCCTCACCCCCCCTCTTGTCTCCTCCTCCTGGACCCTCGGCCACAAGTTCGATCAGTCGTAAGTTCTCTCTTTTTCGCTCTCCCTAGGCTGTCAGCAGAGCGTGACATGAGAGAGTATCAGCAGAGAGTGTGCTCAAGGAGCGGTTCAGAGTGGCAGACCACCTGCTGCCATCCGGGAGTCCCATGGGCGCTGCACTGTCTTCCTCGCTCACACCTCCCCTTGTCTCCTCGTCCTGGACTCTCGGCCACAAGTTTGACCAATCGTAAGTTCTCTTCCTCACTTCCTCTAGGCTATCAGCACAGAGTGACATGAGAGAGGGACAGCACATAGTGTGCTCAAGAAGCGGTCTTTATTTGAGGCGCCTTATCAGCACATAGTGTGCTCAAGAAGCGGTCTTTATTTGAGGCGCCTTATCAGCACATAGTGTGCTCAAGAAGCGGTCTTTATTTGAGGCGCCTTATCAGCACATAGTGTGCTCAAGAAGCGGTCTTTATTTGAGGCGCCTTATCAGCACATAGTGTGCTCAAGAAGCGGTCTTTATTTGAGGCGCCTTATCAGCACATAGTGTGCTCAAGAAGCGGTCTTTATTTGAGGCGCCTTATCAGCACATAGTGTGCTCAAGAAGCGGTCTTTATTTGAGGCGCCTTATCAGCACATAGTGTGCTCAAGAAGCGGTCTTTATTTGAGGCGCCTTATCAGCCGAGAGTGTGCTCAAGGAGCGGTTCAGAGTGGCGGATCACCTGCTGCCGTCTGGGAGTCCCATGGGTGGTGCCCCCCTCTCCTCCTCCCTCACACCACCGCTGGTGTCATCGTCGTGGATGCTCGGTCACAATTTTGATCAGTCGTGAGTTCTCTTTCTCGCCTGCTCTATGCTTTCCCTCTCTTCTACCTTACTCCTCTCCTCGTTTCTCATCCCTCCTCGCTTCCCTTCCCTGCCACCCCCAACCTTGTCTCTTCCTCTCACACCATGCCATCCCCATGCCATCCCCATGTCATCCCCACCCCAGCAACTGGAGCAAGGACCGCCAGGGGGGAAGAATCAATGCATCGCCAGACCGACTCGAGGCCTCCCCCACTTTCAACCAAAGCGCCAACGCTGCTACCTCTGCTAATGACACACCTTCAAGGCGAAACCGGGATGGGGAGAGAGCGGGTTCGGGGGGGAGGCATGCGGATGGTTCAGGAGACGGGGGGAGCAGCAGGAGAGGAGGGGGCGGCAACGGTAGCAGCAGGAGCCGGAATATGGGTCATGTAGGGGTTGGGGAGGAGGAGGGGGTGGAGGGAGGAGGATCGGGGGAAGCTGGGACAGTCACGTCCCTGATTCACTCCCAGGCTCGGATCTCTGAGCAGCTGACACTTGTCACCGACCGATTGGATGAGCTGCTCTCGAGATTAGATCTTGTTTCGTCTGGTCCAGTGGGTTCTGCGAGTGGGAATGGGGTAGTGGCAGGGAACGGCGGCAGCAGCAGCAGCCAATTGAGTCCTGCCACGTCAGCGTTGACCAGCCAGCTGGTGTTGGGAGGGAGGAATGGGAGTCGAGGCGAGCTGGCAGGACCGATTGATATAGGAACAGGGACTGGGGGAGAGAGGAGGAACGGTGGAGGGGGTAGTGGGGGGAGTGGTGGTAAGGGTGGGATTAGTGGGGTTAGCAGGCTCACACCTGTTTCTACTGGTGCTGCAGGGGGGAGTGTGATGGGTTTGATGAATGGTGGTGCAGTTGGTATGAGTGGTAACAGTCTTTGTTATGATGTGAATGTGGTGAATGGGGCTGGGAGCGGTGCAGAGGGGCAAGTGGCAGTGGCACCAGGATCGGCAGCAGCGGCGCTGGTGGTGGAAGTGAAGGAGATCGCCAGCAACCAAAGAAGGCTCGCATCTGAGGTGAGGAGAGGTTGGTGAGGGGTTTTGCCTGGCAGTCCTTCTGACTTTTGGGTCGACTTTTGAGTTGACTTAACAGTGCCGGTGGTGGAAGTGAAGGAGATTGCCAGCAACCAAAGAAGGCTCGCATCAGAGGTGAGCAATTCAGTGGCGTTGCTCGTACTCGATGCGATGGGCTCGGGTTTCAAGTCTATTGGCACGGTCCCTTAACAATCTTATGCTTGTTTTTGTGTTTGTGCTCTCCGTCCATTTCCACTGGTGATGCTTTTCCCACTCGTTCCACACCTTTCAACCCCCCTTTCGACCCAAACCCCCTCGCCATCAACCCTCCCCCCCTTTTTCCCCCCTCTCTTCCGTCTTCCTTGATTCTCCTTCCTAATTTCTACCACCCTACTGGTGTGCCCCCAACCACTTATGTTTTCCTCCGGCTGGATTCGTTGAGTCGTCTGCTTTGTTGACTCCGGCTGGAATCGTCTGCTTCGCGACTCACTAGACTCCGACATCCCCTCCTCTGCTCAAATCACTGCCCCCTTTCTGTTTTTTCTTTCGTCTCCCAACCAATGACTACTTCCCAGCTGGATTCATTGAGTCGCCTGCTTCGCGAATCATTAGACTCCGACGTCCCCTCCTCTGCTCGCCGTCGCTCCTCCGATCCCCGCCACTCCCACTACTCGCTCTCCTCTTACTCCGCCTCTGATTGGTCCTTGTCTGGAGTAGCTCTAGCTGTTGCGCTGCCAGCTATCGCTGCTTGTGCCGTTGGGGTGGGGGTGGCTGTGCTGGTGAGAGCAAGGCAGTCAGGTTAGGCTTGAGAAAGGAGGCTGGCTTGTCATGGTACAGACAGGTTATGCCACCCACGCCACGCCATACTCATCCGTGGCGTGGATGCTTGTGCCATTGGAGGGGGTGGCTCTGCTGGTGAGAGCAAAGCGGTCAAACTAGGCTCTGATGCAGCCTTGTTATCTCATGGCAGGGGCATGGGGCCACCCACCCACCCACACTATGTATTCTTCGTGCTGTGTCATGGATGCGCATGACAAGTATTTGAAAGTATAGTAAATGCACATGAACTTTTTTTTTTTTTCACTCTCATGCCATTACTTCACTGGAGATGCCAAGGGTCAGGATAGTGTCAAATGTTGTAGCCTATAGTGAGGTTTGTCTTAGGGGGTACAAAACTTAGGGTTAGCTATATGTACCCCAACCAACATCAATGCATCATCCATTCTTCATTTTGACAGATAGGCATGAGAAAGGAGGTAGGCTTGTCCCCATCCATACTAAACCCAATGTCCATCTGTGCTCCGTGTACCCATATGCACGGAGCATGAACCTAAGGTAGGAAAGCATATCCAGCATGGAATATTGGAAATACATCTCCTGGTTCCTTGACTGCTGCAATGGCGAGGTTGCGTTGTATACCTGGTTAGCTGTATATTTCCATTTTCAATGGTCCATAGTTACTTTGCCTGCACTTTCACAGTTGTGATGGTGCAGAAGCGTTTCCTAGCGCGTATCTCAGCAGCAATTGACCATAGGGGTTTAGTCAGAATATTCTGACCCAACCCGCGCACCGCTGGCAGCATTACTCTTGGCGTGGAATTATGTTCGGTCGAAAGCGGTCATCAGCGTAACCTCCTTGAACCGATTTAGATTCTTAATTACCAAATTAGACCGACTTTTCCGACTGCCCAAGGAATCTGGTTTTCAACCCCTCTGACGGCTCCTAACACAAGGCTGCTTGTTTCCTGGCTGCTCAAACACGCAACCCCGCTGTCAGTAACGGCTCGCGCAATGCTTGGTGGAACCCATTGTCGCGGTCCGTATTTCTCCTTCCCGCGTGCAAGCCGCAGACAGAGACAGATTGAACGCACGTGAAGATTGAGTCGCTAGCGCCGGCGTTTAGTTTAGGGTCAGGGTTTGCAGTTCTGGACGTTACTTGCTGGCTTACGACGCGACGCGAGGAGGCGATGTGGGCAGTGTGGGCCGAGCGCCATATGAGTTCCGAGAGTGCAGCGCACAGTTCTATTTCGAGTGGCCTAAATTCAGTGACTGCCTTCGCGCATGAAAAAAAGAGGAGACGGCATTTTTTCGCTGTCCAGTATGTACAATTGGTCGAGTCGTGGCCATCCGTACTATTGGCTTATCGGTGTTCAGTAACAGACCAATGCGGGATAGCTGATCCGTACTATTGGCTTATCGGTGTTCAGTAACAGACCAACAGACCTTATCAAGTAGGGATGCCCCGTTGCCACCGACAGACCGACCGAACAGCGCGACGCGACTACCAGCACCTTGCGCGAATCCGCGGACTCCCCGACACCCGATGTAGTAAAGACCACGGCCCGGTAGTCATTTTCCCCAAGCGCCAGCACCAGACTGCCAACCGACCAGACTCAAGCCCTTCCTGCAACCCGCGCCATCCCGCTGTTTCCCCAAACGCCATTCCGCGATTCCGCCGTTCCGCCGGTTCCTCGCCCCGCGGCTTCCGCTATTCCGCGAGCGCGAAAGCCTGCCTGATTTTGAGAGATCAAGATCGTTCCGAGGGAACCTTTCTCCTAAGAGCTTTCTACCCACCGTTTGGCCGGCCCCGAGTCGCGGGTCCACCAACGTTCATACAAAACTTTCAAGAGGCGCCCGCAACGCTATTTAGATTGAAGAGTCGAAGCATCCATTGCGGAAAACGACAGCGGACATCCATCACCTCGCTGAAGGCTGTAGTCGTGGACGCCATTGCTGCCCGCCATGGCCGGGAATCGCGGCGGCGCGTCAGTGGTAACCCGCAAGCTGATGCTGTCTGTCGCGCTTCTGTCTGTCGCGCTTCTGTCTCTCGCGATCGCCGTCAACATCGCGAAATTGATGGCACACCCGAGGCGTCTCGTCACGGCCACCGCTGCTCCGCCCAGCCCCGATCGTAAGTTACTGACCGTTTGGAGGCACTAAGTGATGCACTAAGAGAAGCAGCAGTCCAACCCCTTACTAGTGCTGCCTGCCTGCCAGGTTGGGTGAACGCCATGAATCCCTGCGACCCCTCTCTCCCCCTTGCATCCCTGACCTGACCCCTCTCCTCCTCCTCCTCCTCCTCCTCTTCTTGCTGTGCAGAGGCCGCGCTGTTGTCGCTGAGAGATGCGTTGAGAAGCAGTAATCCTGCTGCGTTGAGGGAACGCCATGTATTACTACTGCAGGCGACCCGCCCCTCCTCCCGATCCCCCCTGACCTCTCACACCTCTTTCTCTTCCCCTTGTTCAGAGACCGCGCTGTTGGCGGTCAGGGGTGCTCTGAGGGGAAGCAACCCCGCTGCGCTGCCAGGCTGGGGGAACGCCATGGATCCCTGCGCGCGACCCTCCTCTCCCGCCTTCCCCTTCGCCCCTCCCACCTTTTTCTCTTTCCCTTGTTCAGAGACCGCGCTGTTGACGCTGAGGGACGCGCTGTTGACGCTGAGGGACGCGCTGTGCGCTGTGGGCGGGATCCTGCTGCGCTGCCGGGATGGGGGAACGACATAAATCCCTGCGACCCCTTCTCTCCTCACTCACCCGCAACCTTGACCTCTTCCTCCTCCTGTTCTTCCTCCTGCGCAGAAGCCGCGCTGTTGGCGCTGAGGGATGCGTTGGGAGGCGACAACCCCGCTGCGCTGTCGGGATGGGAGACTGTCATGAATACCTGCGACCCCCCTATTCCCCCTGTCCCCTCTGACCTTTCCCTCCTCCTCCTCTTGCTGTTCAGAGGCTGCGCTGTTGGCCCTGAGGGACGCGTTGAGACGCGGCAACCCCGCTGCGCTGCTAGGTTGGGGGAACGACATAAATCGCTGCGACCCCTTGGAGACCCCCCCTCGCCTCGTTGGACCCCTTTCCTTTCCTCTTTCTCTTGCTGTGCAGAGGCTGCACTGTTGGCGCTGAGAGACGCGCTGAGAGCCGGCAACCTTGCTGCGCTGCCAGGATGGGAGAATGGCCTGAATCTCTGCGATCCCCCTCTCACCCCCCCCTTCTATCCCTGATCCCTCCCCTCCTCCTCCTCTTGTGCAGAGGCTGCCCTGCTGGCGCTGAGGGACGCGCTGAGAGCCGGCAATCCCGCTGCGCTGTCGGGATGGGGGAACGACATGAATCCCTGCGACCCCTCGGAGAACCCCCGCCTCGTATGCAACAGTGCTGGACGCGTTATAAGCCTGTGAGATGCTGGACGCGTTATAAGCCTGTGAGATGCTGGGCGGGTTATAAGGATGTGAGATGATGGGCCTGTTGCTTACTTAGATGCTTCAATGATGCTGGACTCGTTATAAGCATGTGAGACTGGCTGCATGAAACCCATTCCACCCTTTTGCATCCCTTCCCACTCCCCCTCTTCTCTCCTCGTTCACCCCCTCCCCCCAGCCCCATTTTCTGCGAGCGAGCTTTCCAAGAGGGCGATTTCGTTAGAGTGATTCCCTTTCCCTTTTCTCCCTGCTAGTGATTTTTGAGAATTCTCAATTTACTCGCTAATTCTAAAAAATCCCTCCCCCCGGCCCCATTTTGAGCTTTCCAAGGGGGCGATTTCGTTAGAGTGATTCCCTTTCCCTTCTCTCCCTGCTCCGGGATTCCTCCCCCTTTTCGTCTCCCTCCCCCTATTACCCCCGCTCCCTCCACTCCCCCCACTCTCTCCGCCCGCCAATCTCCCTCAATGCCCCTCTGTGCAGCTACCTGGCGAACGAGTTACTGAAAGGACCCATCCCAGGGAAGCACTTGTGGGCGCAGCTATAGCTGTTGTTGCTCCAACTGCTCTGCCCCCTTAATAGCCCCTATCCCCCAAATGCCCTCACTCCCTCCCTCTGTGCAGCTATTTGGCGAACGAGCTACTGATAGGGCCCATCCCAGGGAAGCAGCTGGCGGCTCTGGCTGGCCTGCAACGCCTGTGAGTGCCTGGGGGGGAGGGGGGGACGGGGGATACAACGCACTCACAGGGCCCATCCCAGAGGAGCTGTCAGCCCTCTCAGTGCTTTTTTGTAATACCCTACTCTATTTTCATCGCCCCTTACGCAATGTGCAGAGACATGGGATTCAACGCACTCACAGGGTCCATACCAGAGGGGGCGTTTGAGGCATCTTACTTGTCAACTCCTCGCTCTATTCTCCTCTCCTCGCCCCTCACATGTCCTTTGCAACGTGTGCAGCAACATGGGGTACAACGCACTCACAGTTCCCATCCCAGAGGAGGCGTTTGAGGCTTAATGCTCTATTTTCCTCTCCTCGCCCCTCACATGTCCTTTGCAACGTGTGCAGCAACATGGGATACAACGCACTCACAGGACCCATCCCAGAGGAGCTCTCAGCCCTCTCCAACCTCACCTACCTGTAAGTCCCTATACGCTTTGTGTTCTGATGAGTCTTGAGACGAATTATAAGGAGGCGTTTCACTCTCTCACAGGACCCATCCCATCCCAGAGGAGCTGTCAGCCCTCTCCAACCTCACCTACCTGTGAGTTGCCTCAGAAGCTTTCTGATGACTCTTGAGTCGTCTTGTCCGAAGCTGTTTCACTCTCTCACAGGGCCCATCCCAGAGGAGAGGAGCTCTCAGCCCTCTCCAACCTCACCTACCTGTGAGTTGTTGCTGCTATTCAGGCCCACTTGTGTCTCATATTAATTCACAAAGTGCATTTCACTTTGGCATGCGGCCATGAGGCCATGAGCCTATGTGCCTATGAGCCCATGACTCCAAGACCCTATGACCCTATGACCCTATCAGCCTATAAACCAACTATTAATGCCAGTCAGTGAGGTGTCTCAAGTGACTCTTTCAGTCCACTTTTGAGGCGCCTCAAAATCCGCGAGACATGGGACGACTTTTGAGGCGCCTCAGAAGTATTGATGTCAGTCAGTGATAGACCTCACGTCTCAAGTCACTTTTCCAGTCGACTCTAGAATTGGCCTCGACTGTTGAGTTGGGTTGAAAGGGTGGGGCTTGAGCCACAGATTCACACAGCTTACTTGCTGGTCCCCTTCCCCTTCCCCTTCCCCTTCCCCTTCCCCTTCCCCTTCCCCTTCCCCTTCCCCTTCCCCTTCCCCTTCCCCTTTCCCGCTCCCTTTCCCCTGACATCCTCCCTCCCCTCCCCTCCTTCCATCCATCCTCTTCAGATCTTTAGAGGGCAATCGATTAGATGGCTCAGTTCCCGAGTGGCTGGGATCGCGACTCTTAAAGCTAGTGAACGTGTGAGTCACATTGCATGGTTGGTGCGGGTAAAGAGACGGCGTTTGGGGCACTCCTCGTTTTCCTTGTTGTTTTTTGAGTCGTTTCAAAACTCTCCTCATGCCTTCGTACGTCCCATTCTCTCCGCATCCGCCCACACGACTCTCTCTCCCCATCCCTCCCTCCACACGTCTCTCTCTCTCTCTCGTTATGTGTTTCAGCCGTCTCGCCAACAACCTTCTCAACGGCACTCTGCCAAGCACCCTGGGCGACCTCAAGAGCTTGCAGCTTCTGTGAGTAGTGGGGTGGGGGTGTGTGTGTGTGTGTGTGTGTGTGTGTGTGTGTGAGAGAGAGAGAGAGAGAGAGAGAGAGAGAGAGAGAGAGAGAGAGAGAGAGAGAGAGATTATTTATGTCGGGTAGGAGGAGGGAAGGAGGGCTAGGTGGGTGTGCAAGAGTTTGGCACATCTTGTATCAGTGTGCCCGTCTCCCTGTCCCTCGCCGTAATTTGTCTGTTTCCATGCCTCCCTCCCTCACTCCCCCCACTGCTCCCATACTCGCTTCGCTCCCTCCCTCCCTCATATCTGCATGCGCCTCATTCCATCCCCCGGCACTTCCTCCCGCCCTTCACAGACCTCCCACCTTGCTGCGCATGGCCCTCTCTCCCACTCACTCGCTCACTCATGCTACCCACACCACACACGCCTCCCCCTCCCACTGACCTTGGCAGCAACCGCCTTACCCACCATGCCTCCCCTTCCCAGTGACCTCGGCAGCAACCGTCTCTCAGGGCAGCTGCCCTCCACCCTCCAGCACTGCTGTTTCTTAGAGCACGTGTTGCCATGTCCCTCTGACGCTTGCTTCTCTTCACACACATCCCTCCATCACCCCATGCCTCTCGCCTCACTCCATTCTCCCCCCCCTTCCCAGTGACCTCGGCAGCAACCACCTCTCAGGCCAGCTGCCCTCCACCCTCCAGCACTGTCGGCTGTTGGAGCACTCGTTGCCATGTTTCTGATGCTTTCTCAAATTTGTTACCCACACGTGCCCCTCTCCCTTCCTTCCAGTGACTTTGGAAGCAACCGCCTCTCAGGCCAGCTGCCATCCACCCTCCAGCACTGCCGCCTCTTGCAACACTTGTGAGTTGCTCCTCTCATACTGCTGCTCCCATTGCTCACATTGCTGCACACATTGCACCATGCACTGCCGCCTCTTGCATTACTTGTGAGTTGTTCCCCCACACTGCTGCTCACTTTGCTCACACACACTGCTCCCTCGTGCTTTGACCCCCACTGCACACACCTCGCATATTGCTGCTCGCATTGCTTGTGCTTGACCCCCACTGCACACACCTCGCATATTGCTGCTCGCATTGCTTGTGCTTGACCCCCACTGCACACACCTCGCATATTGCTGCTCGCATTGCTTGTGCTTGACCCCCACTGCACACACCTCGCATATTGCTGCTCGCATTGCTTGTGCTTGACCCCCACTGCACACACCTCGCATATTGCTGCTCGTATTGTTCACACCCCCTCCGTCCCCTGCTCTCACCACATCCATCCCAGCCCAGCCAATCAGCTCTCAGAACCTGGTTCAGCCAGAGTGGCTTAGATACGCGAGTGGCTTAGAAACGCCTACTTAAAGATCCATTCCATCTCCGTCCTCCCCCTCCCTGCCCTCCTCTTTCCCTTTCACCAGATCCATCTTACACAATGAGCCCCCGTCCACCATCCATCTCACTCATCCTCCCCCTCCCTGCCCCCCTCGTTCCCTTGCACCAGGTCCGTCACAGCCAATCAGCTCTCAGGACCGGTCCCAGAGTGGCTTGGAAGCCTGAAGCAGCTCAGAGCGCTGTAAGCACAACACTTTGCTAGAAGAATCGTGTTTCTTCCTTGATGTGTCTGTGTCTGTATATTTATATATATTATGTATATGTAACAACCGTTTTAATATATATTTTCCCAGATTTCTCAGGAAACACTCAGCGAGCAAATGCCAGACCTGAGCCAGCTCTCCTATACGAACAAACTGTCTGCACTTATATTCCTGCATGCCCAGTCCATGCCCGCGCTGCTTTCACTCCTACCAACTGCCAGTCCCTCCCCTCTTCTCCTTTCCTTCCGCCCTTCTCCTCCCCTCTCCTCCCCTCCCTCCTCCCCTCTCCTCTTCTCTCCCCTCCTCCCCTCCCCTCCTCTCAGAGAGCTCTTCTCGAACCAGCTGACCGGCTCTATTCCTGCTAGCCTGGGAGACGCCTCTGCCCTGCCTTTGCTTCAAGCAACCCCACACGCCCTCTCCCTCCTCCCCTCCTCCTCCCCTCCCCTGCTTCTCTCAGAGAGCTCTACTCAAATCAGCTGACCGGCTCTATTCCTGCCAGCCTGGGGGACGCCTCTGGCCTGCTTAGATCCCTCCCTCCTTTCCCGCCCACCTTCTCCTCCCCTGGCCTCTCCTTTCCTTCATCCCGTCTCTCAGAGAGCTCTTCTGGAACCAGCTGTCCGGCTCTATTCCTGCCAGCCTGGGGGACGCCTCTGCCTTGGAATCCATGTGAGTGTGACGACTGATGTCATCTCTGTGTGTGTAAGTCAATTCCAATCAGTGCGAGCCAATGCGAGTCAGTGCGAGTCAATGCGAGCCAATGCGAGTCAGTGTAAGGCAATGTGAATCATTGTGAAGCAAGTGTATGTGAGTCAATGCGTGTCAGTCACACTCTCGTGACGACTCCCATGTCATCCCTCTCCTCTCGCAGCACATCGCACTAGTCGATTCTGTCTTTTGAGAATTCTCAAAAATCACATTTTCACCCCGTCCCCCAAACCTCTTCCCTCCTCAAACACCACATTTCCATTCTGTCCCCCATCCCTTCCCTACCTCCCATCCCTTCCCTACCTCCCATCCCATCCCTACCTTCCATCCCATTCCATCTCTTCTCCACCTCCCCGCAGAGCATTGGATAACAATGGCCTCTCAGGTCCCATCCCACCAGCACTAGGGACCCCCCGCCTCCCCGCTCAACACAAAGCCGCCAATTACATCTCCATACTGTTCCCCATCCCACCTCTTCTACCTACCTCCCCGCAGAGCACTGGATAACAATGGCCTCTCAGGTCCCATCCCACCAGCACTAGGGAACCTTTCTAAACTCGCCGCACTGTAGGTTTCAGGGTTAATGGTTTCGGTTTTAAGGGGGTTTTATACGTATACATATTGATATGTATACATATACATACATGTATTTATGTTATAAGCGCCCCGAAGTTATATATATATACATACATATATATGTATATGTGCGTGCTTTTTTTTTTTTTTAATTTAGTTTAGGATACAGGGCAGTGCTGTTGTTAAATTCACTTCGCTGTGCTCTGGCTTCTTCCCTTCTTCTGTTGGCATGTATGCTTGAACGTAGGGCCAGCTCAGGAATGCCGCATCGTCTTGGCTTCTCTCCTGTTACACCTCTCCCCCGCCCATGCTCCCTCTCATCGCATCATCGGCCCTATGCTCCCTCCCACAACTATATGGCAAACAACTCGCTGGAAGGACCCATCCCTGCCAGCTTCATTGGGCCCTCTCTCTCCATGCTCTCTCTCCTCTCATCATCTGCCCCATGCTCCCCCTCATCCCACAGCTATATGGCAAACAACTCGCTGGAAGGACCCATCCCTGCCAGCTTCATTGGGCCCTCTCTCTCCATGCTCTCTCTCCTCTCATCATCTGCCCCATGCTCCCCCTCATCCCACAGCTATATGGCAAACAACTCGCTGGAAGGACCCGTCCCTGCCAGCTTCAGTCGCCTCAACAGCCTCATGTACCTGTGAGTGTCTCGAGTTCGCTCATATTGAAAGGAATAAGCTAGTAGAGTGCTCAATACCCTCATGCAAACGTGAGTCGAACAATCGAGTCTCCTACTTCTCTTCGCCCCTTCCTTCCTTGCCTCGCCCTCGCACTTGTAGGGGCATCAGCTCAGCAATTGCATCAGCTCAGCAATTGCATCAGCTCAGCAATTGCTGATGCAATTGCCATAGCTGAACTGATGCACTTGTAGGGGCATCAGCTCAGCAATGGCGTCAACGGCTCCAACCTTTTTCCCCCACCCAGCCCTCCCCCTCTCTCCCGCTTCCTTCTCCCACACCCAACCCCTCCTTTCCTTCTTTCCCCTTGCACCTGCAGCGACCCGACTTAGGGCATCAACGGATCCCTCCCAGCCTTCTACCTCACACCCACTCCCCCCCCTCTCTCCCCTCTCTCCCATCCTCCTCTGTCGTCCTCCTCCCGTCGCTCTTCCGATTGCAGCGACCTGAGTTACAACAGGGGCATCAACGGATTCCTCCCAGCCTTGCTAGGGAACCACTGGCTGCTTCGGTCTCCGTCAGCGTGAGGTGGTCAAAGACTGAGAGTCTCCTTCCTTCTCTCCCCCCCATGCCTCCCGTTGCCCTGCGCTGCACCTGCAGCGACCTGAGTTACAACAGGGGCATTAACGGCTCCCTCCCAGCCTTTTTAGGGAACCTATGGCTGCTCAGGTCCCTGTGAGTATAGGAGGGCTGGGAACTCCAGTGCTTGTGACTGGCGGGGAGGGCGGAGAAAACTGCAGTGTGAAATGGTTAAGGGATTTTGGCCGTACCTGCATGAGAGCTAGAACCTGTTCCCCTCTCCTCTTCCCCCCCCACCCAATCTGTTTCCATGTGGGCCGCTGCTTTCCCCCCCTTCCTCTCCCACACCTCTGTGTTTCGCCGCCCTCCTTCCCGCTCCTTTCCCTGATTTTTTGCTGCTTGAGGTGCCATTCCCAGCTTCTAGGTCCGGAGATCTTCCTCCCCTCCAACCGCCCTCCCTCTGCGGGTCCCTGCCATTCTCTCCCCCTCTCCCATCCTTCCCTCCTATCAGGGCCATGGAGCATTGCAATCTCACCGGCCCCATCCCGCCCTCTCTGGGCGCCCTCAGCCTCCTCGTTGTTCTCTTCCTCGGCGGGAACAGCCTCTCCGGCCCCATCCCAGCCACTCTCGGCAATCTAGATTCACTCCACAAGCTTTATCTCCAGAACAACCGCCTCACTGGGAGCATCCCGGCAACTCTCAGCAGTCTAGAATCTCTCCACAACCTCCATCTTGGAAACAACCGCTTCACAGGGAGCATCCCAGCAGAGCTGTGTCACCTGTCGTATGTACATGAGCTGAACCTGAGTCACAACGAGCTCAAAGGGACAGTTCCGGCGTGCCTCCCCGCCCTGCCACGCCTGAAACTGCTGTAAGTGAGAGTCCCTTCTCTCGGCAGCACAGCATCCCGGCAGAGTTGTGTCACCTGTCGCATGTACATGAGCTGAACCTGAGTCACAACGAGCTCAAAGGGTCGACCCCGGCCTGCCTGCGTGCCCTGCCACGCCTGAAACTGCTGTAAGTGAACAGTATCCCTTGTATCAACCGCCTGTACGCATCTAGAGTCGCTCAGCAAGCGCTATCTCGAGAACAACCGCCTCTCTGGGAGCATCCCGGCACAGCTGTGTCACCTGTCGGATGGGTGCAGTTCAGTGCAGGTGACACAGTTGATCTCTACCTATAATCTCCACCTGAGTCACAATGAGCTCAATGGTTCCGGCCTGCCTGTTTGCCCGCCCTCCCACGGCTGACACTGCTGTAAGCAAGAGGCTTCTCTCGTGCCCCTTGTATCACCACAGCACCAGCATAGTTGTGCCTCATGGCCTACATCCACGACCTCAACCTGGCACACTCAATGGGACAGTTCCACATAGCCTATATCCACGAGCTCGATCTGGCTCGCAATGAGCTCAATGGGTTGATTCCGGTTTGTTTGCCTGCCCTGCCGCGTCTGACATTGCTTTAAGCGAGTAGCATTAGTGGTTTTTGCTCCGGAATTGTTCGGTGGCCTTTGTGTTTGGCACTAGGATTGCTGCTGCAGCTCACCGTAGCTCACCGTAGCTCACCTCACCTCACCTCACCTCACCTCACCTCACCTCACCTCACCTCACCTCACCTCACCTCACCTCACCTCACCTCACCTCTCCTCCCCTTTTCCCTCTCTCCTCTCCCCTCTCCCCCCCTCACCTCTCCCCCTTCCTTTTCTCCCCGCAAACAGTGACATATCTCACAACCACCTCACGGGCCCACTCCTGCTGCAGCAGCAACAGCGAAGCTACCCGCTAAAAAGTCCATTTTAGTTATTTATGCAGCTGTTGCTGCGTGCTTTGCTGCTGTGCTGCTTGTGTTACCATGCTAAAACTATGTTCCTGCTGCTGCAGTAGTGATCTCACTGGATCTAACCAGGCAGTGCTGAAAATGCTGCAGGCTAATCAAGCACCATGCGTGCTCTTGCTGTAGCAGCTAGGAAGAGCATTGTCGCATATCATCTCTCCTGCCTTTTTATAATTGTCATAGTGCAGGAGCATTTCCTAGCGCGGATATCAGCAGCTTCTGACCAAATGAGACCCAATCAGAATCGACTGACCACGAAACCGAACTGACAAACCGCCAATCTTGACAGCATGACAGCGTGAAACTTTCGTTCGGTGCGCACTCGCAACCTCTTTTAACCAAGTTTTTCTCCCAGCAACCGATTGTAACCGACTTTCCTTGCTTTCCTCCTAATCTGGTTTGCCACACCAACTGAAGACCGACAGGCTCCTGTAAACGGAGAGCAATTTTCCTGGCCGCTCAAACACGCAACCTCGCTGGTTGTAACTGCCGCCTGTATAACTCGTCACGATCATATCTTGTCGAACCCGACAATGCAAGTCTTTGTCGAACCTACAACATATCCCCCGGCGTCGTATGTACAATCGGTCCAGTCGCGGCCATCCATAATAATAGCTTATCGGTTTTCAGTAACGGATTGATGTGCGATAGTTGATTAGCAGTCGCTATCAGCGACGCCACCTTATCAAGCTAGGATACTTTCTTGCCGCCGACAGCCGACCGACCAACGCTATTACCAGCACTTCCCACGGGCTCCGCGCGAACTCCGCGAGACGCGAAGGGTCTACCCCCCATTTCACAGCTGGCGTTCTGCTTGAAGCACGTATTCCGATCGCATTCTCATTTTCCGCGGTATTTCCCGTGACCCATTCCCACGGGTCCGATTCATTCAAGTCCACTACGAGAAGTAGTAGTCCTTTTCCCTGGGGAAATCGACCTAAACCCCTGGCAGACGCCAGCACCAGGGTGACAATCGACCAGGCTCGAGCCCTTCTTGCAAGTCGCCATTTTTCCGCAGCGCCATCCACCACTTTTCCACATATTTCTTGCGTATCAAGAGACGTCCGATAGAACTCGCGAGATCGACGGCGATTATCATCCAACGCTTGCGAAATCCTTGTGTCGTGAAACTCCTGTGCTGCCAGCCATGGCCGCGAATCGCGGCGGTGCGTCAATGGTCACTCGCAAGCTGATGCATGCTCTCGCGCTGCTGTCCCTCGCGCTCGCCGCCACGGCGACAACCCCGAGGCTGCTCGTCACGGCCGCCGCTGTTGCTGCGGCCAGCCCCGATAGTGAGTTCCTCGTTACAAGCCCCGAGTTGGTGATCGCGCGCAAGCTGATGTTTGCTCTCGCGCTGCTGTCTCTCGCGCTGACCTTCGCGCTCGCCGCGCTGTTAGCGCTGAAAGGCGCGCCGAGACGTGGCAATCCCGCTGCGCTGCCGGATGGGGGAACGCCATGAACACTTGCGAACCCCCTGTCCGCTCCTCTTATATGTTCAGAAGCGTCGTTGCTCGCGCTGAGGGACGCTTTGAGACGCGGTAATCCCCCTGTGCTGCCCGGCTGGGAGAATGGCCTGAATTCCTGCGACCCCCCCTCTCACCCCTTCTATCCCTGATCCCTCCCCTCCTCTTCTTGCTGTGCAGAGGCCACGCTGTTGGCGCTAAGGGATGCGTTGAGGCGCAGCAATCCCGCCGCGCTGCCAGGCTGGGTGAAAGCGGATCCCTGCGACCCCTCTATTCCCCGTCCGCTCCGACCCTTCCCTCCTCTTCCTCCTCCTCTTCCCGTGCAGAAGCCGCGCTGTTGGCCCTGAGGGACGCGTCGAGTAAAAGCAATCCCGCTGCGCTGCCAGGCTGGGTGAATGCGGATCCCTGCAAGTGACGCCCGTTTCGCCCACCCCCCCTGTCCCCTCCTCCTCTTCTTCGTCTTTCTCAGAAGCTGCGTTGTTGGCGCTGAGGGACGCGCTGAGGAAAAGTTACCCCGGTGCGCTGCCAGGCTGGGTGAATGCGGATCCCTGCGACCCCCCCTCTTCCCACTTCCTCCTTCCTCTTCTTCCTCTTTCGCAGAGGCCGCGCTGTTGGCTCTGAGGGACGCGCTGAGAAAAAGCTACCCAGGTGCGCTGCCAGGCTGGGTGGATGCCGATCCCTGCGACAACTCTTGGAGCCCTCGCATCAAATGCAACAGTGCTGGACGCGTTATAAGCCTGTGAGATGCTGGACGCGTTATAAGCCTGTGAGATGCTGGGCACGTTATAAGCATGTGGCTTGCTGTGTTATAAGCATGTGCGCAGCACATGAAATGTCCTATCCCAGGGAAGCACTTTTGGGGCGCCTCAAAAGCTCCCAGCCCACTAATTGGCCCCATCCCCCCTTTTCCGTTGCGCAGCTATCTGGCGAATGAACTGCTGAGAGGGCCCATCCAAGGGAAGCACTTTTGAGGAGCCTGAAAAGCTCCCGCCCCCCACTCGTCCCCATCTTCCCCCAACCCACCCCCCAATCCCCGCTGCCCCTCTGTGCAGCTACCTGGCGAATCAACTGCTGAGAGGGCCCATCCCGGGGAAGCAACTGGCTGCTCTGGCTGGGCTGCAACGCCTGTGAGTGCCTGGGGGAAGGGGAAGGAGGAGAGGGGAGGGTAGGACAAGGGTGCAGACGGGAAAAGGGGGGATAAAGGGGGCCCATCCCTGGGAAGCAATGTGCCTTTTGTGTTTCCCCAGTTTATTTCCATCGCCCCTCCCTCGCGCTTGCAACGTGCAGAGACATGGGATACAACGCACTCACAGGGCCCATCCCAAAGGAGACTTGTGAGGCATCTCACTTATCCATTTCCTGCGTTATTCTCCCCATCTGTCACGATCCTGTTGGCACGTGCAGCGACATGGGATCCAACGCACTCACAGGGCCCATATTAAAAGAGACTTGTGAGGCATCTCACTTATACATTTCCTGTGTTATTCTCCCCATCTGTCACGATCCTGTTGGCACGTGCAGCGACATGGGATCCAACGCACTCACAGGGCCCATATTAAAAGAGACTTGTGAGGCATCTCACTTATACATTTCCTGTGTTATTCTCCCCATCTGTCACGATCCTGTTGGCACGTGCAGCGACATGGGATCCAACGCACTCACAGGGCCCATATTAAAAGAGACTTGTGAGGCATCTCACTTATACATTTCCTGTGTTATTCTCCCCATCTGTCACGATCCTGTTGGCACGTGCAGCGACATGGGATCCAACGCACTCACAGGGCCCATATTAAAAGAGACTTGTGAGGCATCTCACTTATACATTTCCTGTGTTATTCTCCCCATCTGTCACGATCCTGTTGGCACGTGCAGCGACATGGGATCCAACGCACTCACAGGGCCCATATTAAAAGAGACTTGTGAGGCATCTCACTTATACATTTCCTGTGTTATTCTCCCCATCTGTCACGATCCTGTTGGCACGTGCAGCGACATGGGATCCAACGCACTCACAGGGCCCATATTAAAAGAGACTTGTGAGGCATCTCACTTATACATTTCCTGTGTTATTCTCCCCATCTGTCACGATCCTGTTGGCACGTGCAGCGACATGGGATCCAACGCACTCACAGGGCCCATATTAAAAGAGACTTGTGAGGCATCTCACTTATACATTTCCTGTGTTATTCTCCCCATCTGTCACGATCATGTTGGCACGTGCAGCGACATGGGATCCAACGCACTCACAGGGCCCATATTAAAAGAGACTTGTGAGGCATCTTGTCAGTTTGCTACTTTATTCTCCCCGCCTCTTGCATGTCTGTTCCAACGTGCAGCGACATGGGATACAACGCACTGACAGGGCCCATTCCAAAGGAGCTCTCAGCCCTCTCGGGCCTCACCTTCCTGTGAGTCTTCTTTCAACCTCACGCACCTGTCCGTCCCTCTGCTGCTTGCTTTCTGTTGAGTCTTGAAAGTGTAGGTGTTTCACGCACTCACAGGGCCCATCCCTCTCCATCCTCACCTTCCTGTGAGTCGCGCCAAACGTTGCCGTCCACCCTTCGAACCTCACTTACTTGTGAGTCGACATGACACCCACCTGTGCTGCATTTCCAACCTTCCAAGGGTGTTCGACCGAAGCTTACAAGTAGATGTCTACCCACCCTTGTGAGCTGTTCGCCCTTCCAACCGCACCCACTTGTTCGTCCCTAAGTCACTCTGCAGCTTGCTTGCTGGCGAGTCTTTAGACGTCTAGAAAGAAAGAGTTTCGAGTCGTTGATTCACACATCTTACTCGCTAGCCCCTTTCCCCTGTCCCATTCCCTTTTCCCCACTTCCTTTCTCCCTCCCTCCCCGTTTCCCTCCCTCCCTCCCTCCCTCCCTCCCTCCCTCCCTCCCTCCCTCCCTCCCTCCCTCCCTCCCTCCCTCCCTCCCTCCCTCCCTCCCTCCCTCCCCCCCCCTCCCTCCCTCCCTCCCTCCCTCCCTCCCTCCCTCCATCCCCTTCAGATCGTTAGAGGCCAATAAATTGAAGGGATCAGTTCCCGAGTGGCTGGGACAACGACTCTTAAAGCTAGTGAACGTGTGAGTTTTCTTGCTGTAAGTCAGCACGTACGTTAGATTGCTTTCTTGGTGCGGGTTGTCACCGAATATGCACGGTTGTGCATATAAGGTGCCAGTGATGTTGTGGTGTAGTGCTGGTGTAGTAATGTGCTGTATGCAGATTCGAGGATAGGTAGGTGGGGGGCTGGGAAATTGTCGCGAGGTTGGTAGGAGAGCGCCGAGGGGTGAAATCCACGCAACCAATGTGAACGAACCAACCCAGGCTCGAGCCGCACATTGAGAAATGCACGGTTCGAGCCTGGGCCAGGTAAATTCACTCTCACACACACACCTGATGCTTTCCGTTTGTTATCCTTTCGTATAGTGGATTGTTGTTGCCTTAACAGTGCATACAGGTGGCACACCACTCAGGGAGGACCTTGAGGTGAGAGTTTCGTTTCTTTCACAACAAAGCCCTTGAGGGTGGCTGAGGCAACAGGGGAAGCTAAGGAGAAGGCAGGAATCAGAACTCAGGCAGATGACGGCATAGCTGTATCTCCGACAGTGTACAGAGTCGACTTTTGGCCCGCTCTTCGTTTTCCTAGATGATTGACTGACTCTCCTCATGCCTTCACTCCACATGTCTCTCTTTCTCCTTATGCCACCACACATCTCTCTTTCTCCTTATGCCTCCACACGTCTCTCTCTCTCCTCATGCCTCTGCACGTCCCTTTCTCTCTGCATGCCTCCACTCGCCGCTCTCCCCTCATGTCTGCAGCCGTCTCACCAGCAACCTTCTCAATGGCGCTCTGCCAAGCACCCTGGGGGGTCTCAAGGGCTTGGAATTCAGACTCAAAAGTCCACGCGTCTCTCTCCCCTCATGCCCTTTTATCTCTCCCCATGTGTGCAGCCGTCTCGCCAGCAACCTTTTCAGTGGCGCTCTGCCAAGCACCCTGGGGGGTCTCAAGGGCTTGCAGTCGCTGTGAGTTCCACGTACCCACATACGCGTCACTCCATGCTCCCGTCACTTCCTTTTGAGCTGCCTGAAGAGTCGCCTCACAGCTTTCTCAGTGGCACTCTGCCAAGTACACTGGCGGGTCTTAAGAACTTGCAGTCTCTGTGAGTTGTTCTTGTTGTTGTTGTTTTCCTCGTCGTCATCGTCATCGTGAGTTGTTGTTGTTCTTGTTCTTGTTGTCATTCTCGTTCGCGTTGTCGTTGCTTTTTGGAGGGGCTAGGTGGGTATGCAAAGACTCTGGCTCATGTCAAATTAATGCGCCTGTCTCCCTGTCCCTCGCAATCATTCCATGCATCCTTCCCTCACTTCCCTCACTGCTCCCATCGTCTCCTCACTCCATTTCTCTCCCTCATATCCGCATATGCCTCACTTCATGCTTCCAACACTTCCCCCCTTGCTGAACATGCCTCCCCCGTCGCTGCTCATGCCTCCCCCTTCGCTGCACATGTGGCCCCCCTCGCTGCACGTGACCCCCTCACTCTCACTCACTCACTCACTCACGCTACCCACACACACATGCCTCCTCCTCCCAGTGACCTTGCCAGCAACCGCCTCTCAGGGCCGCTGTCTTCCCTCCCTCCAGCACTGCCAGCTATCGGAGCACTCGTTGCCATGTCTCTCTGACGCTCCTCCGCACCCCATGCCTCCCCTCGCTTCACCCCATGCCTCCCCTCGCTTCACCCCATGCCTCCCCTCGCTTCACCCCATGCCTCCCCTCGCTTCACCCCATGCCTCCCCTCGCTTCACCCCATGCCTCCCCTCGCTTCACCCCATGCCTCCCCTCGCTTCACCCCATGCCTCCCCTCGCTTCACCCCATGCCTCCCCTCGCTTCACTCCATGCCTTTTTCCCGCCTCACTCCATTCTCCCCCTCCCAGTGACATCGGCAGCAACCGCTTCTCAGGCCAGCTGCCATCCACCCTCCAGCACTACCAGCTATAGGAGCACTCATCGCCATGTCTCTCTGAATCTTGCTCCACTTCGTTACCCACATGTGCCCCTCTCCCCCCACTCCCAGTGACATCGGCAGCAACCGCCTCTCAGGCCACCTGCCGTCCACCCTCCAGCGCTGCCAGCAATTGAAGCAGCTGTGCGTTGTGAAGCAGCTGTGCGTTGTGAAGCAGCTGTGCGTTGTGAAGCAGCTGTGCGTTGTGAAGCAGCTGTGCGTTGTGAAGCAGCTGTGCGTTGTGAAGCAGCTGTGCGTTGTGAAGCAGCTGTGCGTTGTGAAGCAGCTGTGCGTTGTGTTGCCCACAATTGAATTGCTTCTTCGTGCCGCCCCCTCCTCCCTTGTCCCTTGTCCCTTCTTGCTTACATCACAATAGAGCCGCTCCCCTGTGCCGCCCCCCCCAGACCTTTGAGTTGGCTTTTGAGTCGACTCAGAAGGCTCTTGAAGCAATTGAGAGTTGCGCACAATAGAACTGCTCCCCTTGTGCTGTCCCTTCCTCCCTGCACATAAGCACACATTACTCACATCACATTGCACCGTGCGGTGCCTGCACTTGCAGCAGCTGTGAGTTGCCCACAGTAAAACTGCTCCCCTTGTGCCGTCCCCCCAGATCTCACATTGCATACATTGCACAACGCATACAATCCTGCTCACATGTCTCACATTGCTCACATGTCTCACACTTCATACATTGCTCACATCCCCCTCCCTCCCCTCCTCTTTCCCTTTCACCAGATCCATCCCAGTCAATCAAAGCACGACACACTACTCCCTCGTGCCTTGTTTTCAGAGCACGCATTGCTACCCCTCCTTCCCCTCCCTCCTCCCCCTCCCTCCCCTCCTCTTTCCCTTTCACCGAAACCATCCCAGTCAATCAAAGCACGTCACACTGCTCCCTCGTGCCCTTGCCTCCTGCCAATGCGCTCTCAGGAACCATCCCAGACTGGCTTGGAAGCCCCCTCTTCCCGTTCACGATCCATCTCCCTCCCCCCCTTCCCTCCCCCCCTTCCCTCCCCCCTTCCCTCCCGCCCATCCTCCCTCCCCCCCTTCCCTCCCCCCCCTTCCCTCCCGCCCATCCTCCCTCCCCCCCTTCCCTTCCCCCCCTTTCCTCCCGCCCGTCCTCCCTTTTCACCAGGGTGTCCCAGGCAATGTGCTCTCAGGACCGGTCCCAGGTTGGCTTGAAAGCCCCCTCGTCCCATCCACCATCCATCCCCCTCCCCCTTTTTCCCTCCCGCCCATCCTCCCTCCCGCCTATCCTCCCTTTCACCAGGTCCGTTGCAGCCAATCAGCTCTCAGGACCGGTCCCAGGGTGGCTTGGAAGACTCAAGCAGTTACAAGTGCTGTAAGCATAACACTTAGCTAGAATCGTTGCGAGTTTTGACGCGTTGCAGAACCAGGGTGGCTTGGAAGCCTCAAGCAGCTGAGAGTTCTGTAAGCATGATGCTTAGTTAAAATCATTGCGATTTTTTAGACGTTTCAAATCCAGAATGGCTTGGAAGCTGCCTCAAGCTGCTGAGAGTGCTTCAAGGATGACGCTGAGCTAAAAGAAGTGTGTTTTCTCCTTGCCGAGTCCGTTTCACAGAGCAATGCTTCACCTGAATCAGTTTCGAATCTCCTGTTCTCTCTTCTCCTCTCCTCTCCTCTCCTCTCCTCTCCTCTCCTCTCCTCTCCTCTCCTCTCCTCTCCTCTCCTCTCCTCTCCTCTCCTCTCCTCTCCTCTCCCCTCCTCCCCCTCCCTCAGAGAGCTCTATTCCAACCAGCTGTCTCGTCCTAATCATTCCAGCCTGCCTGGTGCCTCTGCCCTGCTTAGATCCTTCTCTCCTTCCCCCCTCCTCCTTTCCCCCCCTCTCCTCACCTTTCCTCTCTTCCATTCCCTCAGTGAGCCCTACTTTAACCGGCTGTCTCGACCTTTTTACCCCAGCCTGGCTGGTGCCTCTGCCCTGCTTAGATCCTTCTCTGCTTCCCCCCTCCTCCTCTCTCTCCCTCCCGCAGAGAGCTCTACTCCAACAGCCAGTCCGGCCGTATTCCCCCCAGCCTGGGGGCGTCCCTCTCCCTTCTTATAACCCTCTCTCCTCCCCCGCTACTTCCCACTTTCTCCTCTCCCCCTCTCCCCTTCCCTCAGTGAGCTCTACTACAACAGCCTGTCCGGCCGTATTCCTCCCAGCCTGGCCGGTGCCTCTGCCCTGCTTAGAGCCTTCTCTCCTTCCCCCCTGCCCCTGCCTCTCCTCTTCTCCTTCCCCCGTTCTTTCAGTGAGCTCTATTCCAACAGCCTGTCTGGCCGTATTCCCCCCAGCCTGGCCGGTGCCACTGCCCTGGTGTCAATGTGAGTGCAATGAGTGATAAACCCGTCAATGTGAGTCAATGTGAGTCAACGTGAGTCAACGTGAGTCAACACCAGTCAGTCACACCACACTCTCTGTCGAGTCGACTCCCATTTCATCCCTCTGCATTGACGTGTTTTTCGAGGCGCCTAAAGAAACACTCCCATTGCATCTCGCACACTAGACAACTGTCACATCTCCATGCTCTCCCCCACCCCATCCCATCCCATCTCCCCCACCCCACCCCATGCCATATCTCCCGCCCCTCCCCACAGAGCATTAGACAGCAATCGCCTTTCGGGTCCCCTCCCCCCAGCACTCGGGAACCTTCCCAGTCTCGCCGCCCTGTAGGGTTCAGGGTTCAGGGGTTTTGGGTTCTAAGGGGTTTACGATTTTTTGGGGGGGTTGGGCTGCTGGTTTTAAGGGCGGTGCCATTAGCATCTCCTCTTGGGTTTGAGGTTTAGCTTAAACCGTTTAGGGCAATGGTGCTGCTGTTTGCGTTCCTGCACTCTTTGCTTCTTCCTTTTCTTGCAAGCATAACCCCCTTGCAAGACCCCGTTCCTGCCAGCTGACTTTTGAGTCGACCGACTTTTGAGTGGACTGACTTTGAGTCGACCGACTTTTGAGTCGACTGACTTTAGAGTCGACTCAAAAGTCGCACTCTTTGCTTCTTCCTTTTCTTGCAAGCAAAACCCCTCTGCAAGACCCCTTTCCTGCCAGCTTCACTCGACCCTCGCGCTCCTGTTATACCTTTCCCCGGCCCGTGCTCTCTCATCTCGGCCATATGCTATGCCCCGTGCTCTCTCATCCCATCATCTGTCCCATGCTCCCTCTCATCCCACCATCTGTCCCATGCTCTCTCTCATCCCATCATCTGTCCCATGCTCCCTCTCACCCCACCATCTGTCCCATGCTCCCTCTCACCCCACCATCTGTCCCATGCTCCCTCTCATCCCATCATCTGTCCCATGCTCCCTCTCATCCCATCATCTGTCCCATGCTCCCTCTCATCCCATCATCTGTCCCATACTCACGCACCCACAGCTATGCTGCAAGCAACTCTCTGGAAGGCCCCATCCCTGCCAACTTCAAACGCCTAAAGAGCCTCATGTACTTGTGAGTGGGTGGGGGGGGCTTGGTCGCTCATATGTGCCCTTGTACCTTTACACCAACAGCGCATCACAACAATCACTCGCAATCAACGCAAGCAACTCCCTGGAACGACCCATCCCTGCCAGCTTCAAACGCCTCAAGAGCCTCATGTATATGTGAGTGGGTGGGTGAATGCTGTTTGCTCGTATATGCCCTACATTCCAACAGCGCACCACAGCACTCGCAAGCAATTTTCTAGAACGATCGCAATCAACTCAGTCAGTTCCTTGGAATTGGAAGAACCCATTCCTGCCTGCTTCGGTCGCCTCATGCATATGGACCCTCATGTACCTGTGAGACCCGCACATGCATATGGACCCTTGTACCTTACATGTTAACAGCACACCACAGCACTCGCAAGCAACTCCCTGGAAGGCCCCATCCCTGCCAGCGTCGGTTGCCTCAACAACACCCTCACGTACCTGTGCAGCAGCGCAGTGCGTGGGTCGGGTTTTACTCAGTGCAGCAGCGCATTCGCAGAGCTTGCGAGTGATTTTTGAGAATTCTCAAAAATCACTTGGAAGGCCCCATCCCTGCCAGCGTCGGTTGCCTCGACACCCTCACGTACCAGTGCGTGGGTCGGGTTTTACTCAGTGCAGCAGCGCATTCGCAGGGCTTTTCAGGCGCCTGTGAACCAGCCTTTTTCCCCTCACTCAACCCGTCCCTCTCTCCTCCCCCACCTTCCTTCTTCTCCCTTACTCCTACAGCGACCTGAGTTACAACAGGGGCATCAACGGGTCTATCCCAGCCTCCCTTTGAGAAACTTTGGCTGCTCGAGTTTCCCCCCCTTTCCTGCCCTCGCCCGTGCACCTGGCATCAACGGGTCCCATCCAGCCTTCCTTCCCTATCCCTCTCTCTCCCGCTTCTTTCCCCCTTACCCAGCCTGTCCCTCTGTCCTCCCCCTCCCTTCCTCCCCGCGCCCTCTCACCTGCAGCGACCTGAGTTACAACAGGGGCATCAACGGGTCCATCCCAGCCTGTCTTTTTTAACGTCTGGCTGCTCGAGTCCCTCTCGGCCTCTTCCTTCAACCCATCCCCCCCCCTTCCTTTTCCCGCCCTCGCCTTCACACCGGCAGCGACCTGAGTTACAACAAGGGCATCAACGGGTCCGTCCCAGCCTTTTTGGGAAACCTCTGGCTGCTCGAGTCCCTGTGAGTGTGGAAGGGCTGGGAACTGGACTTGCCTATGGGTCCAAAAATGTTGGGAGGACTTGCGGCTCTAGGTGTTTAGTAATGGATCTTGCTTTCCCCACTCTCCCCCCCTCCACCAACCCCCCCGCCGCCCCATCGCTCCATCTCTTCTCCCTCAACCTGCCCTTGAGCTCTCTATCTCCCCGCCAGCCAACCGTATCCTCTGGTCTTCCATTCCCCCCTCCTTTCCCCCCTATCAGAGCCATAGAGAACTGCAATCTCTCAGGCCCCATCCCTCCGTCTCTAGCCTCCCTCAACCTCCCCTTGAGGTCTATCTCCCCATCAGCCAACCATATCCTCTTGTCTTCCATTCCCCCTTTTCCTTTTTTTCCTCCCCCCTCTGTCGTCCCTATCAGGGCCATGGAGCACTGCAGCCTGACTGGCCCCATCCCTCCGTCTCTAGGCACTCTCAACATCCTCGTGAAAACCTTTGTCTCCTCCAACCGACCTCCCTCTGTCTGCCCCTCCCCATTACCCTCCTCTCTTCGCAGAGCCATGGAGCACTGCAGCCTGACAGGCCCCATCCCTCCGTCTCTAGGCACCCTCAAACTCCTAGTGGAAATCTTCCTCTCCTTCTTAAAACCTCCCTCTGTCTGTCCCTCTCCATCCCCCCTCCTCCCTTTTCAGGGCCATGGAGCATTGCAGCCTGACAGGCCCCATCCCTCCGTCCCTAGGCGCCCTCAAACTCCTCGTGGAGATCTTCCTCTCCTGTCCCTGCTTCTGCCCCCCTGTCCCTCCCTCCCCTGCCCCCCTCTGTCCTCCCTTTTCAGGGCCATGGAGCACTGCGGCCTGACCGGCCCCATCCCTCCGTCCCTAGGCTCTCTCAAACTCCTCGTGGAGATCTTTCTCGGCGGGAACAGCCTCACCGGCCGCATCCCAGCAACTCTCGGCAGTCTAGAGTCGCTCAACAAGGTCTATCTCAGCCACAACCGCCTCACTGGGAGCATCCCGGCACAGCTGTGCCGCCTGGCTAATGTCTACGAGCTCCAGCTGGCTCGCAATGAGCTCAACGGGACGATCCCGACCTGTTTGACTGCCCCGCCGCGCCTGAAACTGCTGTGAGTGACCGGCACGTGTTGAGTAGCCCTCTTTCCAGCGCAATGAGCTTAATGGGACGATCCCGGCTTGCCTGACTGCCCTGCCACGTCTGAAGCTTCTGTGAGTGACCGGTAGCACTTGTTATCAGTGGCTGAACTTCAGTCTCCCCTGTTGAGACGTTGTATCATAAACCTTATTGCCCTCTTCTCCCTCCCTTCTCCGCTCTTCCTTCTCCCTTTTTCCTGCCCCACACCACATTGCAACAGCGACGTATCTCACAACCACCTCACGGGCAAACTCCCTCCCATTCCAAAGCAATCCAATCTCCTCTTCTTGTGAGTTTCCCCGTCATGCCACTTTCTATGCACCGTCCCAAAGGCCTCTAAGGCTCAAGGGACCTCACAAACCCACTCCGTTCCATCCCGCACAAAATCAAATCTCCACTTCATGTGCGCTCCCCTGTCATGCATCTCAAAATCCTTAAGGCTTAAAGCCTTAAATCGTCAAAGCCTTAAAGCCTTACAGCCTTAAGGGTTCAAGGGTCTCAAAAGTCACCTTACGGGCCAGCTCCCTCCCGTGCCATGGCATGAGAAGTAATATCCCATACACTTACCCCAATCCCCCCAAGCAGGTATGTGGGTAACTGCCTCAACCATGCTCCCAACCAGGCCTGCCTTACTTCTGAGGCACCTCAAGAATCTGTCATGCCGTGCCATGTCATGCTATCACAATTGAGATCCCATGCGTGAACCCCAATCCCCCATGCAGGTATGCGGGTAACTGTCTCGACCATGCAGCCAGCCAGGCCTGCCCTCCCAAATCTTCCTCACCTGCTGCTACTCCCTCTTCTTCTCCCTCCTCTACCACCTCCCCATAGCCCTCCTCGGCTCCCTCTGTTCCCCCCTCTGCTCCCTCTGCTCCCCCCTCTGCTCCCTGTTCTTCTCCCTCCTCTTCACCCTCCTCATCTCCTCCCTCTGCTTCCTCTGCCCCCTCTGCTCCCTCTGCCCCCCTCTCTGCTCCCTCTGCTCCCTCTGCTCCCCCCTCTGCCTCCTCCTCTTCCACTGGCGCTCCCTCCTCTGCTCCCTCCTATGCCCCCTCCTCTTCGCCCTCCCGCTTCCTTCCCTGGTCCAACTCCTCCGTCCACATCAGCACCGTCCACGTCAGCACCGTCCACATCAGCACCGTCCACATCAGCACCGTCCACGTCAGCACCATTGCCCACTTCTCAACCACAGCAGCAGTAGCAGCAGCAGGGAAGCCCACCAGGGTCTAACAAAGCGGCTTCAAGCAATGGATGTCTTCTAGTTATTAACACAGCTGTGGCTGTGTGCTTTGCTCCTGCGCTGCTTGGGTTACCATGGTAACCATGTGTTCTGCTGTAGCAGCAACAGCGAGACTAACAGCTTAAGAGTCCATTCAAGCTATTTATGCAGCTGTTGCTGTGTTCTTTGCTGCTGTGCTGGTTGTGTTACCATGCTAACCATGTGTCCCTGCTGCAACAATAGTGATCTCATTGGAACTAACCATGCAGTGCTAGCAAGGCCATGCTGTTGAGTTCAGGCTAATCGTGCACCATGCGTGCTCTTGCTGTAGCAGCTAGGGAGAGCATTGGTTGGCGTGTTTATAATCGCACCTGGCCTTGTGCCTGCGTTTGTGTTTGAAGTATGGTTTGAGAATGTTGGCTTGGTTCTGGTACCAAGCCTACATTCGCACAGATCGTTCGCTACTGTGCACACCCCTTACGTTTGCCACTTGTGAGAGCGAGCTGGCTCACAGTATTGTGTATACACCTTACTGAGGAAATTTTCACATGGAACATACAAATACCGCAAGAAGATGGCGCAGCTAGAAGATCTACTTGTGTAGATGCTCGAATGAATTTGACAGCTCCAATGTAGAGGCCAACTAAAAAAATAAGAATAAGATCAAAATTTCATCATTAATATCTTGAGAAGTTACGTGTAAGTGACTTCACTTGCGCATCAAGAGAAGGCGGCAACCATCCCGAAGCTCGACTCCGTGGTTGCACCAGAAAATTCCACTGTAGAAGCCTCTTCGGTATTGTTAGTTCTCTTGGCGAAGCGACCCTGCAGAGAGAGAGAGCGAAGAAATTATTAGAGTTTGCGTGATTCACGGAGGCCATGTAGACCACTAGGTGAAATAATAGGAAAAAATACCTAAGCTCAGCGCAGGAGAAAACGAAGGCATATATTTAGAGATCAAGTTACCTTTACTCTGGGTCGGCTCTCGGCGTAGGCCTTCCGCGATGCGTAGCGAATCGTCTTCTCGAACTTCCGGTTCTTCCGCTTCTCGCGGTACCGCATCACGCGAGCTTCGCGAGCCATCGCCACCATCGGGCTGTTACCGGCCGTCGCTCCCACCGCTCCATGCGGAGAAGCATCAAACGGCAAAGCCATGCTTCCGTCGAGCGAGTTAGGTCGACCCAGCACGTCTGGCACGACTCCATTATCGAGCGCGGATGGTGACAACTGCAAATGTGACAAGAACGAAAAACAGCAGAACATGTAAGTTAACATTGGTGAGAAACACGTAACGACTCGGTCGAGTAACCAGAGATGGTCGTGCATCGATGGTCGAAAGACTGAAAGAAAGAGGAAAAACTAAATAAAGAAGGTCAAACGCGAGAATCCACGTGAACTTACACTTCCTGAAGTCCCCGGAGTCGCCAACGGTAGCGCCCGAAGCGCGCGAGTGTCGAACGAAGACGCGTTAGAAATGGAGGGCGAGCATTGTCGCACATCGGTCGTATGAACAGGAACCATGCTGTCCTTCGCGACCCTCCCGATCCCCGCCGAACCGAAACCCGCGCCTCCCAGACCCGCCGGACCTAGCCCCGTCGAACCTAAGCCAGCCCCGGCAGCCAAGCTCTGCAGCAGCTGCGCACTAGTCGGCAGACCCCCAGCCGCGGCGAGATGACCATGAGCAAGGGCGTGGTGGTTGTGACTATGGTTATGAGCGCTAGCAGCTGCAAACGTCTCAAGATTTAAAAATGGGTCGACGTCGAACAACAGATCTGCGCCTCCTGTTCCTCCTGCTGCTCCTGCTGCTGCTGCTCCTCCCTCCGCGCCTCCTGCTTTCATGAGCCGAGACTGCGGGAGCGCGCCGCTCATCGTGGCAGCGGCTGCGGCGGCGGCGGTGGCAGCGGCGGGGATCGCGGGGGAAGAAGTAGGGGGTTTCATCATGAGCGAGAGAGCGTTCGGGTGGGGGAGGAGCGACGTCGGGTTGAGGCCGAGAGATGGAGGATAGAGGCCGATGTTAGAGAACGGGAGAGACGACAAGGGGTCGCTGCTGCTGCCGAGTCGACTAGCGGCAGCGGCAGCGGCGGCGGCGGCGGCGGCAGCGGGGTTGAGGGACGGGTTGAGGAGCCAACTGGCCGTATCGCCGGCTGTATCCTCGTCACAGGCTTCCTCATTATCGGGATGGTTATGACCGAGGTGTTCCTGGTTCCGCTCGGATAAATGGAGGCCGAGCCCCTTGAGGCCGTGTTCCCCCGGGTGAAGGAGATCGGATCCGGGAAGAACGATTCCGTTTACAGCGGATTGGATATGGGCGACTTTGACCATGGAAGGGCTTTCGTAGAACGGGACGACGGGAATTCGGTCATGGCGTTGCGCGAGCGGGTTCGCATTGTGAATGTCGGCGTCGCACGTCGTGCAGAGCGCCGCGGCGTCCGCTTTGCAGGTTACAGCCGCTGGCGCCATTTCGCAGACCTCGCACACCCAGACGCGCTCGTGTCGCGAGGCGAGCTTGTTTGCGCCATGGATCTTGCCGTCGCAGCCGGCGCAGAGATAGGCGGAATCTGCTCGGCAGTAGAGCAATGCCGTGACGCTTTGACAGGCGTCACACGGCTTCGGCATGGCTATCACGAAGGAATAAAACAAGTAGGAGTCGGTAGGTGGTCTATTCCTGTAAACGCGCGGAGCGAGGTTGCTAGCGTTTCCGATGGCTGGACGGCGTACCGTATCTGTCTGGTGTGCAATGCCTTTCGCGTGTGACTGTGAACTTGTGAGGCTGTGAAAAAAAGACACTGGAGTGGTTGCTGACAGTAAGATGTGGTGGTTCTAACTCCCGAATCCCAAGGTGAACCGTGGAGCGGACCAGAAAGCAAGCAGTCACGGTGTAAAGAAAAACGGCTCAGCCGACGTGACTGAAAGAGAGCCACAGACAGCCGCAGAAACGGCCAGAGTCGTGCTGGAAGGGAATGTGTGGTTCGTTGGAGAATCAAAAGCAGAAAGGCGTGGGCAAAGAGGATCAGAAACTGAAAGGTGGTAGTGGAGAGAATCCCAAGAGACGCAAAATGACCACAGGAGTTGAAGCCAACCAGCTAAAAGAAGCGTGTGACTGGATATGGCGCACAACTGTCCGCGCTTGTGAGTGGATGAAGTGCGCAACTTTCTGCGCTTATCACTGGCCCGGGTGCGCAACTGGCTCTACTCTTACCAAACGTCTTGGTCCCGTCCGCGCTTCCGATAAGAATCGTGTGGTGCGCAAGAGCCCGCTTCCATCCTTCCCCCACTCCGCCAAGTCACGTGGAGAAGCGGTGTTCCACCGCTTAATGCGCGCAACTGTCACACCCTCCAGATGAGTTCGTAAACGACACTGTGATTTCAGTGGGCTGGAGGAAGATCATGGGCACGACATTTGAGAATGGATTAGCCTTGTATACCGCACCCAACCGTGTCTCACCTCTCTACAATAACCTTGCGGAAGATAGAATTCAACGAACCTCGCCCAACAACGAGAATTCCCGAGTCCTGACCAGCTGCTTGGGCGCTGGCTGCTTCCGACGGGGTGGGGCCGTGAGGCTGACAAGGCGGCATGGCACATTCTTTCAGTGGCTTTCTTGCCACAAGGTGCGCGGGAAAGAGATTCGCGGGTGGTTGGGTGGGAGCCACGTGGAATATTGAATGGTGGGTATGGCGGACTGCAGGCTGTAACAACCCTCAACCTCGTGAGCGCAACAGTCCACGTACGTGTACAACCCAACACCCTTCCAATCGGGATTCCATCCCAACAAGCGCGACTTGGCATACACGTCAGAACTTGCGGCGCCGAAAATGCAAGTGCTGGTGCAGGGATATTGGAATTAATTCCCGCGTTTACCGAACCCTTCGGTTTCTCTTCCCCACAACTGTTTATATAAACTATTCTGGCCACGCTTTGGACCAAATATACGCGTCTATAACGATTACAAGTTCTGCGTGGTTCTTCATACGCTCGTTTCCTGGAATTAAAGGTTCTCTCGAACTAGCCCCATCACCTTGCCCTGAGATGGCACCCAAACCCAACCGAGACTCATTAATCTTAGCATGTGAGGCTTTTGAAGTCGAATAGGTTTATCAAAGAAATAGACTAATTTTCGTATTCCAACCCTGGGAACTACCAGAGAAGGTTGAGATGACAGCAAGCATTTAAGCCGTATTGTTCGTGCAACGTGGCCTCCAGACTTCTTGGCGAATACTTGGTCGTCAGGGCTTGGTGGAGGATATCAGTACAGTCGACGAGACGACCCAAAAGGGGCCGCCAACAACATCCTGTCAATCACCTTCTCGTTTCGCATGCTTCTCGAAGAGGCTCGCGTCAGCGGTGGGAGGTGGATGCATTACGAATCAGAAGGGAAATCCACGTCAATTCATCATAACCATTTGAATGTTCCCTTTCACTGAAAACATTTTGGCAAACCGAGGGCAACTGTACCATTCATGTGAGCTTAATAACCTAATGAATACAGGCAGCAGTAACATTTTGTGAATACAAATGCATTAATTTTGTGTGCTACTTGCACCCTTTGCCCTATGAGAATGGCCAATTGCTTTGGGACGTGCCAGCAACGAGGAGTCATCGCAGCGGGCTCCAATAAAGTGAGATGAGGAGATTCGCTGCTTGTGATTCACCCTACCTCTGGGAGGTGGGTTTGCATCCACGCAATCCTGAGCACCAGTCCCTGGAGCTGTGCTTGATGTAAAGCTGCCATCGGCGTCGTTTTGTGGGAACTCGAGATGCAGTTGTTTCACACTGGGCATCTTTACGAATCGGATGATTTTTTTTGGGTGGGTGCTTACACACAGCATTGATTTCCAAGCAGTATCAAACACTCAAATAGGACCAGAATTTCAAGTAAACACCGTGAATTGTCAGGATGATCACCACGTTTCCTGCAGACACTTCCGCCACTGTCGAGAGTCAAGAAATCCTAGCCCATTTCTGGGATCCCTCATGTAAGGACGCGGTGCAGATCGGGCAATCGATTGCCTCAGATCGTCCGATCGGGTCGGGTCGGTTCGGATTGGGTGGGATTGCCCCAATCGGAGGCAATCTGTTGATTGCTTCACGAGCCGCGCTATCTGACCATGAACTTCGAGGAAGTAAGTGAGAACTAGCAACGTGAGCTCTATGCTAGTCACGGGTTCCTTCCCTACAAAGTTTGCGACACTTGGCGACATTTGCGTCTCGCGCAATTACAATGTAGCCCCATTTTGGGTTACCGATTCTTCCATGCCTTTGATGTCGCGATATCCGATGGTGCTGCGAGCAGTCTTTTAATTCGTCAGGGTTGTTACTTGTCGCAACTGTCGCCAGGCCTCGCGATCTGAGCCAATCTGTCGATTGCAATCGATCGCAAGCGATTGCATCAGATCGGAGCAATCGATTGCAATCGATCGGATTTCCGATTGCAATCAACAGATTGCCCCCGATTGCATGTGATTGCCTCAAAATACCTTTGCGGCTTCTTAGAAATGGTGGATCGCCCCAATCTGACGCAATCTCACTCAGATCGGGGCGATCTGCACCGCGTCCTAAGTACGTGGGCCCAATTGACTTTGATCGGCTCTGATCGGATCGGGTTGGGCCGGATCGGATTGCTTGTGATCGTTTTCCTCGCGCCGCCCGATCAGATGTGATTTTCCTCGAATGTGTGGCGTTCTTGCATGAAAGCTGACACCCCATTACCTGGTAGTTGCAGGCCAACTTGGGCGAGACTGACGAATTTTAGTATCGTGGTAATGTCGCACAAAGCATATCTGGGTGTATTCGCAAGGATTTTCGAGACCTCATGGCGAGGTGTGTTACATTTCGTGTACATCGCCCAGGTCCCCGATCACATGCAATCAAGTGATTGGGTCTGATTGTGTCTGATCGGGTCTGATCGGGCTGTTTGAGGCGGTTGATCGAGTTGGAGCGATCAGCTGATCGCGATCAGCTGATTGCCCCCGATTGCCTGAAATCTGCTTCCCGCCTTCCTAAAAGTGTTTGATCGCCTCTGATCGCGCCGATCAAAGTCGATTGGGCCCACGTCTTAACTGTCATTCTGCCCCGAACTGTTCGTCACCAAAATTAAATCCCGCAAGTGGACTCCGACACTGTAGGCGCAGTAAATTCCGGCTGGACCTCCCCTCCACCAGTCAGAAAACACGGAGATAAACTTCTCTGGGCGGTAAACATCCCCATACAAGCTAGTTTCCCTAATGAGGGTCATTGCTAAAATAGTTACAGAAGTAGCATAGCACCCTGCTGTACAACCATGCATGCATTGAACGTGTAATTTTGTTTTTTCCAGGCACGAATTATCACTGTATTTTGCCACTGATTCTACTGTATGCAGAAAAACTTGCTAAAAAAATATGCTACAGCACAAGGCGCTGCATTCTCTTCCTCAATACCTCAACGGCTCTCTGCTCTGACAACCGAAGCATGTCCATTGGTTGGGTTAGCTCCAGAGCCTCTTTCTCTGCTGAAAGCACCTGGATTAACACATGCCAGGGGAGGGTATAGGGTGGCAACATTCTTGGCGACACCAATCAAAACACCCACTCGTGTGGCCATCGAAGTTTGTAGTATGCATGTATATAATGCACCGCCCGTATAAATCGTCATGAAACCGTAGAGTCATCGCATGCTGGAATGCCAAAAAACCTTAGCTTACACTGCAGGGTTGGCATGGCACTCAAGGTGGCAAATACAGCGTGGAAACACGCAATGGTTCGGCGCCGTACCTTGGCAGGGTCGGCGACAAGCCCAGCGCACCCATCTGTATGGCCCATAACCATTACTATACTACACCTAGTGCATCGCATTAATTGGATTTGGTTCGGCCGTACCTTGGTAGGATCAGCGCCCACTGCTCCCATCTGCATGGCCATCATTCGCTGCGTGTCGTCTGTGGCTGGATGGAGAGGGGAAGAATGAGAGTGCAATAGGGAGAGTGTTAGAAGACGCCCACTGCACCCATCTTCAACCATTTGCACCCATCTGCAACCATCTCCACCCATCTGCACCCATCTGCATGATCATCATTCGCTGCATGTTTTCCATGACTGGATGGTCAAAGATTGTAATGCTTGAGGAGGAAAGCGCGTGCTCAGAATAGAAGGCAAAGGAATCTGCACACATATCGAGATAAATCAGACGACATCATATAAAATCTAACGAGATCACTACTTGATGGGCAAGCTCGTCTCACCGTTATCCTCGCCAAGAATGAGCGTGAAGAGCCCCCGAAGGCCAAAAAGATTAAGGAAGTACCTAATAAAGGGGATGCACAATAAGGGAGTGCGTGGGGAAAGGCAGTGACCAGAGGGGGAGATATATTACGAGTCGGTCAAAAAGAAACATATTACCTGCATGCGCAACATGCTGCTAGTCTAACACAAAAAGCATCTACACTTCGCTACAAGTACACACCCGGCCACGATACATTCAGTCTGACTGGAATCATAATCCGATACAGTCACACACGCACCACGAGCGGCTGCTGACAAAGCTGACTTTTACTGTGCTCAGGTCTATACCGTTCTGTACCTCTAGATCAAAGGGCCGCAGCAAGCCTCACCGTGCACACACATACTCCAACACCTGA